ACGCCGGTTTTCTATGAGGTCGTGGTATCACACCGGTGGAGCATTTCCCATTCCTAGTAGCCTCTCCTATCATAGGACGGACTGCATTGGGTCCGTTTTTGGGTTCAGTGGTAACTCTAACTGCAAAATTGTCAAAAGTATTCTGTTATTGCCAAAGTAAACGTTTCTTTCCTTCTATCTTCACTGTTTCACTGTTCACTGTTTTTTTTCTGTATGTATCATCGCATGTATCCTATTTATGGTGTGAAATAAAGAGTACCTATCTATCTTCCAATAACTTTAGTCTCAGTCCCTATTCGAGAATTGCAATATACCTGACCCTCGTTTTATCCGATTTCATTAGCAAAATAAAACTAGTTTAATTTCAATAACTTGATCTGATATTATTCAATAACCATTCATTTTTTTCACCGTATCTTTGTTTCACTTCATCTGCTATCTTCAAAACGACTCCTGGACCTTCTTAAAATGGTCATGGTTGTGATATACATATATACTAGCTGACCCGGCAAACGTTGTATTGCAAAACAAAAAAAAATTAGGGATGGGTCACCCTTACCATTTAGGGGTATGAAAAATAGATGTTGGCCGATTCTCAGACCTACCCGATGTGCACACTAAAATTTCATGAGAATCGGTCACGCCATTTCGGAGGAGCACGGGAACGAACATTGTGACACGAGAATTTTATATACATATATATATATATAATTGATATCGATAAGTTTTAGGTTAGAACTTCATTATGGTGGTGTCGTTACCAAAAAAATTGTGAACTACACCCCAGTACGGTGTGGTTTAGTAGGGTCGTTTACAATACACAACTATTTCTATGTAAAAATTACTTGGACTATGTAAAAATTAGAGCCTAAACCGCTAAGAAACAGAACCTAAACTTGAATTTTGTCAACTGATGCTATTTATGTTGTAAGCACCCACTAAAATTGGTTTTTGAAAACTTCACCGCTAAGGCGGCAAAAGAACAGACAAACGGAAGTTAGTTGTTTACGAAGTTAGAAACACGAAATAAATACAACAATAGCTAGTAGTAGCTAGGTATAATGAATTGCGAATTCAACAGTCTGATGGTAAATATTCGTTCTTTTCAAATTTTCGAGTTTTCTGCGTCATTAATGCGTGCTAAAATACTTCATTATTTAAAGTTGAAATAACTAACTAATTAAACAAACACATTCCAAATGACAAGAATTTAAATATATATACCTAGTTTATTTTTAAAGATTATTATGTAGATGAATGACGCAGAAGTTAAAAGAGCGGATAATCACCCCTGTGCAGGTAAGGATCACATATCACAGTCGATGTGTTATGGGCTTAATTGTTTATTGTACTAGCAGACGGCTCGCATGGTGGACTAGGCCTGGGACTACTGCCGCCCATAAACGTCTGCAACTCAAGAGTTACAAGCGCGTTGCCGGCCTTTGAGGAAGGCGGACGTTCTTTTCTTCTTGAAGGTTGTATCGGTTCAGAATTAACGCAGATGATAACTTGTTCAACAGGTTGGTAATCCGAGGCAAAAACTGTTTTGAAAAGTGGTGGTGGAAGGCTAATTATCCGATTATTGTTATTTTCCATCCGTTATCCACGATTCTCTTATCACTTTGTTTTGGTCTTTAGCTGCAGTTCGTCAAAGAACTCTAGCAACAAAATATTCATCAAGTTATGATTTAGCTTTTTTTATGTGCCATACACACAGATCTCTTTCGTCCATCGTCTGTTCTACGGACGGTTCCCTTCATGTGTGGTGACCACGGTGTCGATTTCACTCCCGCCCTTGATAAGGCGCGCGAATTCTTGAGAATGTTACGGCGCCACCCTGGCTTGCTTGGGCTAAGGCGACGGGTTGCTGGTTGACGGTCAGGAGAGTTATATTTTAGGACTTATGCCTTTTCATTATTTTTGTTGCAGCTCGCACCGTGTTGTCGAGATACCAGTGACTTTATTTTAAAAAAATACAGTAACGGCGTTTTAAACTGACAACTGTCTTTTAGAACCTTCATGTGTAGTGTCCACGGTGTCAAGTTTACTTCCGCCCTTGACAATGCTCGCGCACTCTCGAGCACGACACGCCCCTACTGTAGCCTGATTCTGCTAGCTGGTGGACGAAAGGTGGCTAGTTGACGACTCAGGAGAATTTTATTTTAGTAATTATGCCTATTCACTGTTTTCGAGATACAAGTGACTTTATTAAATAAAATACAGAATTCGAGAATAGATGGAATCTGTGCTTAGTATTCGCTTACCCACCCACACTCCACCGGATTCCGGCAGCTTGATTAGGCGATGTTTTTTTTTTTCAAGACGTTTTTAAGTCTTCATTGAGGAATAAAGACGTAGAAAGATCGCCCCGTTTTATAACACGGAACACACTCATACCTTGTTACTTTGGTGCTTGGGTGTCCATTTGTGCCGTATTCCCCGAAACCCAACGCTTACCACGACTGCGAGTGCCGAAGTGAGCACAGCGCTCCACAAAACACTGGCGTAGGTTCAAAAAGCGTATGGAAATCCGCTGCGAACAAGTGAAAGTGTAACTTGCGAAAGAGGGGGCTCTCCCGACTTGTTAAGCTAGTTTCCGAGCTAGACGTCTAGCACGTCTCAGGCTATCTAATAAATCGTAGATAGACCGAGGTTTACCGGGGTACAGTGATTTCTTCTAAAGGTTTTACCTGATTCCCCGGCTGCTGACATCCAAGACTGGTGGGTGGTGTGGTCGTGTAAAGTTCATAGCTCATTAGAGCCACCTGACACCCGACCAGCACCACCAGCTATGACTACGCTCGAGGGAGGTGTGGTATCCTGTAGGACTTTCACAGGTGAAAAAAAAAACCATCCCGTTTCGTACGTATGCTTCAACTCTATGGTTTTCTTTTGGACGTTAGTTTTAGGTCCTCAAAAATGCTAACATAATATTCATGAAGTTATGATTTTTAAGACTATCAGTTATTTTTTAATCACAAACTTTTGGCGACAACTATAATAATAATAATATTAATTTGAGTATTTTATTCAATCACTTAGTTTTGTAACAGTGTAGCACTATCTCGCTTTATTCCAAATATCGTTAAGTAGTTTTGACGTTCTCTTTTTGATCATCAACTTTTGTCGTTCACTGTACAGTATTTTAATGTATACATGGAGTAGAGTAATATTAATATATGATATATGTATATTTCATAGGTTACGACCTTAGTTATGACTCAAACTTATATATGCTCACCACCAGTTTAAAAAGATTCCAGTCCATCGAACGGTTGTCGTTGCCGGAAGATAATTGTTCTAAGCGAATTCGACAAACATATTGGTCTAGTGGTTAGTGACTCTGACTGCTAAGCCAGAGGTAGTATGTTCGATTCCATCCTAGGACAAATATTTATGTGATGAGTTCTGTGTCTGAGTGTAAGTAACGAAATTTAAAGTATGTTTATCAGCAATCTGTTTACCATAATACATGCTCTGCCTAGTTTGGGAGCAGACGGATCATATCTCATATACAATGAGTTTTTTTTTCTTTGTATATTTTATAACCTCTGCAAAAACCCTGATTTAAAAGTGAAGTATTATCTATCTATCAATCTAACTGCCTGACTTCTCAGCTCTTTATACAAACTCCCACCTAGTCTTTCTCCCTAATTAGGTTGGGGTCAGCTTAAGTCTACTACAATACGGCTGACGCTTAGATTTTGCTTTTAGCTGACAGCTTCGATTTTTTCGCGGAGCGACAGCAATTAGACCTTCACAACCCAAGTACAAGGCGATATCAAAGATCTGTAGAAATACTGTTTTTTTTTTCTTTTTAATCCTCCCACACGCCCACCACTGTAACTCCTGTACACCAGGATCCACAGCAGTGACCCACGAACACACCGAGTTATGAAAGACTGTTGTCTTTTTAGAGCCCCAACTACCCACCACAGATGTTTGTATTTCAACCGGAACCGACGGCTTAACGAGCTCTCCGAGACACGGAGGGGTCTCAATATGTTCAGAATAACCTATAATAATAATAACCTCACACATCTCACACACGGCCGGCTGATCCCTAACTAGGCAGAGCCTGTGCTATGGTAACCAGACCGCTGATAAACATACTTATATATTTTTAAATATATACATATTATAGACTAGCTGAGACCCGCGGTGTTACCCGCGTTTGTTGTTATAACCGCGGGCAACGCCGCGGGGTGAAGGTAGTCTAAAAAAAGTAGCCTAAGTTACTCCTTATGTCATCAGCTATCTGCCAGTGAAAGTCCGGTCGAAATCGGTCCAGCCTTTCCAGAGATTACTCGGAACAAACAGACAGACAGACAAAAATTGTAAAAAATGTTATTTTGGCATATGTACCGTATAAACATACATATGCATTCAGTAAAAAGCTGTTATTTTAATATTACAAACAGACACTTCAATTTTATTTATTTGTATAGATAATACATAAATAATTTCGATTGACTACGTGTGCTGGCTTTGTCTTTGTTTACTGACTTCTAATTTAATGTAACGCGTGTATTTTCTAATCGCGGATATTTGTAAATGGCCATCAGATGCTTAAGTATTATGTCTTATGTGTTTTTCAATAATGCTAGCTGTATTTATCCCAAACAGAGAATAAAAAAATACATCCAGATACAGAACAAAGGACCGTGCTCATCACACAATATTTGTCCTGGGTGGGAATCGAACCCACGACCCGGCTTAGCAGTCAGGGCCACTAACCACTAGACTAACAAGCCCGTCTTTAAGAAGTGCCCGTCTAGAATGGTCACCTGACCTGGCTAGGACTGCTTAATTTTTTAATTATTTCATCAAAAACAATTTTATCAAGTGTATGTTTTCTTTTGTCCACAGGTATAAGTATACAACCATGTTGACGCTACTTAATTGTTGATTAATACAGATTATAAAGAAGCACATGTTAAAGGCTTGATGTATTTGGCAAGTGTACAAGCGTGAGTCCTAGAAGAAATATCAAAAAAAAGATGGCGTCTTGCTTGTCTGGTGGTCACTATGTACCTGGAACCCAGGAGTATATGCCGGTTGCTGAGTTTTACGCTGAAAAGTCGGTTTTTGTCACAGGCGGTACAGGATTTATGGGCAAGGTAAGATTCTTTTTTACACAAGCGAATGCAAATCATTTTAATACTTATACTTACATTCACGCCTTACTTCTGTCCGGGAACCGTGTGTCACCACCCCTATTCATCCCGCGAGTGTCGTAAAAGCCGACTAAGGAAGCAAACTAAGCAGGAAACAGCACTGCAAAGAGAAGGAAAACTGAACACAAATCCTGTACCAACCCTTCTGGCCAGTGTGGTATATTAGACCAAAACCTCCTTTCTAAGGTGTGGTCTATGTCCAGCAGTGGACTATCAAAGGCTGTTTATGATGATGATAATGATTTGCCACGATCCTGACATTAAGTTTGCGCCTCTTCCACATTTATGCGGCCCTTTTAAAGGCCGGTTGCGGGTGCTTGTCTTTTAAAATTTATGAATAAATATTTTTTCCTTTCAAAGGACAATGGCAGGTCCCCGGGATACATAATTTTATTTGAAGTGAAATGACAGCGTTTAAATATCAAAAATGCCTATAACCTTTGATTCTTTTTTTTAGAATTTATTCTTGAACATTCTCATAAAAAAATTACTAGCGAAAGAAGTCTAGGAAAAAAGATATTGGATTTTGAATGTTTCGTGGTTAAGTACTAAATTATTGTCAATGTTTTGTTTGAAACTAGATGGCGTTCTGTGTCATATATTCGAAAATATTATTCATCATTATTATTACTCATAAGCAACCCTATTTGCTGTAGAAAGTGTTAGCCGACTCTCTAAAAGGGTGAAGGAAGGAAGGATATTTGCTTGGCATGTTTTGGTAAACAATAGAAAAAAATCTTTGCTTACCAAGCAGGTGTAATACTAGCTATAAATAAATAAATTATTAATAATAATTTGAATAATTGTACTTCAATACACATTTACACAAGGCGGAAGCATTTATTTATTTATTTAGTTATTCGACAGCCAGTATTTGTGACATAATTTACTAAAATCTAAAGCATGCATCCATTCTATTGAGATTAATGCACAACATTTTAACGCCTCACATCATGCATAATGGAGTAACACTATATGAAATAAAAATAAAAATAAACATATATGAGAGTTTAATACTAAACAAAAGTAATCAAAACAACCAAACAAACTACAATAAAATTGCCTTGTGAGAAATGGTATGTAAATCATGCGTGTAAGTGTCAAACGACAAGACTAGTAAGTGCGACGACGACGTATCGACATTTTAAAAATATCGATGTATGTCTATTTATGTGCCGTTATCAACCTTACAATGTCTTTTTCTCATCACACTAAGTAGTATATTGTTTTAGTATTTTTCTGTAGGAAAATAACGTAACTATATTCTATTTATTTTGGTGTAGCAAAAAATCTTTTAAAAGAGTCAAAAATATTCTAAATTATTTCTAATTAGGTTGATTTAGTCACTATGGTACTCGTTACGGTAGCGTATGAGTGAACCCGTGGGCAGAAGCAAATTCATAATCATAATAGGTGAACCTTCGATAGATATTTAAGCCAAAGTTATAACAATCGATTATCGATAAAACGTTCCATAATATAATAATGTCATCGCGCATCCCTAGTCAATTCGTGATGGCGATTCTGACATTACGTACTTAGGTCAAATAAAATCTTTAAAAATATCCAATTTCTTATTAGACTTATGCAACACATAAGTATAACGGTATAATGATAAATCATAGAAAAAAAATTTAATAAGTTGGTAAGGTAAGACGGCCGTGTGTGAGGTGTGCTGGGTTATTATTATTTTGTCACACAACATTCATGAAACAGACACAAAGAACTTGACGTTACATGTCTAATACCTTTTTTTCATCTTTAAAAGACAACTCCCGCATTAGGAGACATTCCTGTGTCGCGGGGGACTTTACAAACATACATGAAACGGACACAAAGAACACCCATACTCAGAACAACAATTTGTGGATCACACAAAGTGTCGTCCCATGTGGTGTTTGAACCCGCAACACTCGGCGCAGTAGGACGCGGCGAGGTGACCGCTTAAACCACAACGCCATCCGTGCAGTCAAATTACTGCATACTAAACTTTCATGAAATTTAGTATGGAACTTCCATATTAAATTTTCAGTACTAAGCAATATACTAAGAAATTTAGCATGCACACTCAATTTTCATGAAATTTAGTATGCAGGGGGTTTCAGGGGCGATTAATCATCTAGCTAGGTTTCAGTTTTAGAAAATTTACCGAAAACCGATCAAAGCTCGATCATCCTTATCATCCTTTTGTTTTATTTGATAAAGCAATATTTCCCCCTCCACAGGTATTGGTTGAAAAGCTGTTGCGAAGTTGTCCAAAAATTAAGAAGATCTACCTGTTGATGCGGCCGAAACGGGGTCAGGATGTCGCCTCCCGGCTCACCGAGCTCACACAGTCACCGGTAAGACACTTACAGCTGTATACAAAGTATTATAGTGAGGGTTGGCCCTTTTTTAGGGACCTAAGGGACCTGACCTTAAGCAAAGATTTTCTTTTTATAAAATTTACATTAGGATCAAAGAAACGTTACTAGCTGCTGTTACCAGTGATACGAAACAACTGGTATCCGAGAAGAAAGGATTTGTGTCGGAATTTGTTACTTTGAGAAACGAAAAATTCTTAAACAGATCTTAGAAATAATACGTGCAATCTAATTTCGTATGGAAGGGAGCAGCAATGGTTGTTGTGTCTCATCTATACAAATAAATAAAATTGAAGTGTCTGTTTGTAATGTCAATAGGTTTTTTCATGCTTACATGGTTATTTGCACGATACCTATGCCTAAAAACCAGTTTAAATATTTTTTCTCTGTCTGTCTGTTTGTTCTGGGTGATCTTCAAAACGGCTGAACCGATTTTGATAATATTTTACTACCAAGTAGCTGTCTATATAAGGAGCAACTTAGGATTTTTTTTCTCTCAGAAAAACCCTATAAAATATTGCCTGGTCCGGGAATCGAACTCGCTAAGGTAGCGTTTTTTAAATTCCACGCGAACGAAGTCGCGGGTACCAGCTAGTATTATCTATGTTGTGTGTCTATTTTTCTTTGTTTTGAGGGTTGTTTTCTCCATGTTCTGTACTAACACTATTCTCTAAGGATATTGTTACTAAAAAAATGGACCCCATGGTCCGAAATAAACAATTATAGGTTTAAAGAACTTTATTCATTTTAAAATAACGTTACATTCCACGTAGTGAGCATAATAAAAAATTAAAATAAAGTAATAACAAGAAACAGCGATCGTAGGTCTCTAAATCAATGACTCGAGAAAGTGAAAAAAAAACAGAATGCATTGGCCGATGTACTCACACGAAATTATATTTTGTACATATTCTCTTTGTAGGGAGTCCGTTATGGTTAATCACTACAGTAAACATTCGATTGTAGCATATTAATTATTTATTATAATTAAACATATTATTCGCTTTATTTATTTTATAACCTCAATGTTAGTTACCATACTCCTCCGAAACGGCTGGACCGATTTTTATGAAATTTTGTGTGCACATCGGGTAAATCTGAGAATCGGCCAACATCTATTTTTCATACCCCTAAAAGACATGGGCGACCTGCCCCTTCATTTTTTTTTAATATTTTATAGAAATAATGTATATGGCAAAACAACGTTTGCCGGGTCAGCTAGTATTAACAATAGTTTTAGACATACACTTTATAGAAGAAAATAAATAGCTATAAATTTAAAATATGTATATTTAATTATTATTATTAATTTAGTCGTAATGTCAGTCGTAGTACTTACAATCAATTTTAAAACGAGATCATCTTCACCTGCCCAAATTGATTTGGAGTTGGTTTTCATTTCAAAAAGTTTTCTTCTTCCGTTCTCCTTTCATTCAATAGCTTCTTCCACGCACTCCTTTATTTCATTGCGAAATGGTTTTGGCTTTTTCTCTCATGGCTGGCTTCCTCCCCTGCCCCTGGGAGACATAACGTGTAATCTTTGTGATATGTAAGCAACTGGTGCTCGTGGCCAAGCGGTAATCACACATGTGCCACATTGTAAGGTTAAGTAATCCTAGCCTGGTCAGTCAATAGATGGGTGACCATTTTTACACACTGAGACCCCAGAGCAGTTTAAGCCGTCTGTCCTGGTTGTCATACAAACCTCTGTGCCAATCGTTATGTCAGTCCCAGGAGCCCAAAACGGTTGACAACAGTATTTCTACAGAACTTCGATATCGCCTAGTTCTTGGGTTGTGATAGTCCCCCGCATAAAAAATCGAACTTAAGCCGTATCGTAGTAGACCTAAGCCGATGGCCTAGTTTGGTAAAAAAAGACTCAGAGGAAGGAAGTCATGTCGAAGTTGAAGTCGAAGCATGTCCTGAATACTCAACATTAACTGTTCAAGTTTACAAGTTTCTGCATTAAGCAAGGAATATTATGAGCTGTTCATCTAGAACTAGATCAGCATTCACGGTTATATGTTTCTAATAATCTAGCACACCATAACTCTCTATATACTGAAAGCTGTCCAGCAGGGCATTCAAAATTGTGAACGAAGCCGTCTTGAAGCCCTTGACGCCAAACGCCAGCTTCGGAAAACTCGTCCTAAGCCCTCCTATACTTACAATACGCGTGGTGAGCTTCACTGTGCCTCATGTGTCCGTGTATTCAAAAACAAAGTCGGTTTTGCTAGTCACGTATGGGCGCATGAGCGTAAACGGAGCTGTTGAAAGGTGACAGGGTGTCGCCATCGACGTCATCATCATACTACATCATACATACTATTTATTTAGAAATGAAAATCGAAATTGAAACTTGACTGCCAATATTCCCTAAGAAGTAATGGTAACTCAAATGAAACTATAAGTAATTCGCTGTACCCACGCTGCGCTGTGTCACAATGACGAAAGATGAGGAATAAAACTGACGCGAAGAATATATAAAAACAATTTTTGAATCGGGTTGCACATCTTGTCAAAATTGGATCTCAATTGATGCAGAACTTTTTGAGTTTTTGAAGCGTAACATTTTCATCTATTAAACTCCCTTCTCCACTCATCTAATTTCCTAAAATCCTACTTACTTATTCAATATCTGTGCTGTAACCACGACAGAAATCTTCGCTCTTCTAATAATCTTCTCCTTCTTTGTCCATCACGTAACTCCAGTGTGATTTATTCTTCCTTCGCTGTCCAAGCTGTTTTCTGGAACGCGCTTACTAGAAACCAGGGCCTCAATTCTGCTTTTTTATGTTTACGCCAAGCCACTGTCATTCCATTGACACGCCATTGAGATGCCATTGAGACGCCATTGACATCGGTCGAAATATCAGTATTCTACTACCATGAATTCAGTGTCAATAGACTGTCGATATAGTAATATAAGTCATCAATGGTGATATCAGCCACATTGCCATACCTGGAAAATTAAATATATAATTTTCTTACAAATTAAAATGTACCATTTACCAAACTATTACAAAAACATCGACGACATTTGTATCAGTGACAAGTCATCCATTGGGCTTACATAGTAGACTAGAAAAAAGTGCAAAACTATTTCGACGACATTCCATCGACAGTCTATTGATATAATATTAGAAAAGCACAATTGAGGGCCCTTTTTTTTCTGTGCTGAAATCCCATCGGATACCACTTTCCGGTGGCAATGTTGGACTCGAACCGACTAAAACCGCACGCCGCATCAGGTACCAGTAGTCGGGGAACCAGGTGTACACTAGAAAGGAAATCCCTGGTGCCCCGACGTACCTCGGGGCATATACCGCAGATAGACGACCCCCCCTATGTGGCCCGTGTCCAGCTACGAAACATCATTTCCCAGTGATCACCTGCGTCAGTTGGTATGAGTGATACCTCTCGAGCCAATCCTCCACAACGGGTATTACCGCCGCGATGACGGCGTGCCCTAGAATTGAGGCCTTGGATGTTTACTAACCAATCCTTTTTTAAGTACGTAAGCTCAAAAGTGTCACTGGAATATCATTTTGTTTTTTGTAAATTATGTACATTTGTGGAACAAGTTATCGTCTGCATTATTTCCGGACCGATATGACCTTCAAAACTTCAAGGAACGAGAGCACTGCATTCTCGAAGGCCAGCAACGCGCTTGTGAGTCAGTCTGCTCTTTTTATTTATTACTAGCTGAGACCCGCGGTGTTACCCGCGTTTGTTGTTATAGCCGCGGGCAACGCCGCGGGGCGAAGCTAGTTACTCCTTATGTCATCAGCTATCTGCCAGTGAAAGTCCCGTCGAAATCGGTCCAGCCGTTCCAGAGATTACCCGGAACAAACAGTCAGACAGACAGACAAAAATTGTAAAAAAATGTTATTTTGGCATATGTACCGTGTAAACATACATATGCATTTAGTAAAAAGCGGTTATTTTAATATTACAAACAGACACTCCAATTTTATTTATTTGTATAGATGTTAGGTATTAGTTCATTTTATTTCATTTGCAAAACAGTAATAACAACTTATAGATAAGAATAAATTAGCTAATTTTGAGATACAGGTTTTCGCATATAAATAAGAATTGAGAGCTTGAATGTTAAAAAAATTGATAACAATGATTTTATATATAGTTGATCCATACTAAAGTGAGTTTGTTTGTTTGTTATGCTTTCACACCTAAACCACTTAATCGATTTTAAAAATTCTTGAACCAGTGAAAAACTACATTATCAGCAAGTAACAGAGGTTAGCTTTTACCGCGATAACTCACATACACAAAAGATAGGACATTATAACTGTAATAGTCACACATAATGAAACGCCACGAAGTACAATTTGAGCAGTTATTGAACCAGTTCGAGCCAATGTTTAGAATTTATTTATTTAAATACATGTGGCTAAATATTGAACAAGTTCAGAAAAATGGAAGGGATGAACTGAAACGCTTAGAAATATGAAAATAAGATGTTTTTCTTGGTAATAAGTTTCATATTAAATAAACAATATGACGGTAAATAATATTTTACTAGTTATTCTTTGATATGAATATCGAAACTACATTTTATTTGTAACAAAAGTTCATGATTTGTTTTTGCTGTGAAACTTCTTTAAAATCGTTGTGATTTGAAACTCGATGAAACGAAAATGCGTCACGATAAAGAAACAAACACAAAAATGTATAGGATTAAGTCGGCGAGAGAATGAGGTAGAATACTTTGCACATTATTTTTAATATAATATTTTGACAGTGAATATTTTTATCGTTTTCTTTAATACCGGTACCCACAAGTTTGTTCGTGTGGAATTAGAAAAACGCTGCCTTAGTGGGTTCGATTCCTAGGCCGGGCAAAATTTTATAGGGTTTTTTTTTAAGTAAGTATTTTGTATATTTTTGAGTTTTTTTTTATGTGAAATGAAATTTTATAAAACTATCTTGACATAGTAAACAAATGAAGTCTCTGCCCGTTCTCGTACGCTTGGATCAGAATGGGATGAATAGCAGAATAACTATTAAAAAAAAAAAACAGGAAATCCACAAAAAAGTCTGTTAGGAATAAACTAATTTTGCATAAACATGCGTTGTGTTTGAAACCGAATACGTATTAAGAGCTGTGATTAAAACACAAGTGAATCTGCGGAGAATAACTAGTAATAACATAAAAACTAAATAAACACACTTAACCTTTGAAACTGGTATAAAATCGATAATTGTGTTTAAATGCAAAACCCCAGGAGAACGACTGTCTGGAGATTTTTGTTTGTTTTTAAAATAAAATTATTCCAATTATCGGTTGTATTAGTATTAATTTATACCCACACCTTGATGGAAATACAAATGTTGATCGCAAAAAGTAATTTAGTGGCCTTTAAATGCATGGGCGATATTTCGTAGCCTTTTTTTATGTGATTATGAAGAATGTAGTTTGTCGTTTATCGTTGAGGATGTCTATCTTTTTTTGCATTCATTCATTTGACGCATTCCGCGTCAAAACAAGGGCTGAGAGCGAGGCTCTGGTAGGTAGGTTAAATATTAACATAGATGTTTGCATGTTTCAAACGATATTATTAAAGCCTCTGTCAGAAGCGGCGTCGTTAGTTTATAAATTATTTAAACTGTAGTCTAAGTATGTTCTGTCTACTTAAGTTATAATTGTTGTTGAAATAAGTTGAATTTCGCTTTAATTGCATGGACGATATTTGGCAGCCCTTTTGTCATGGTATAGACGGTAAACGAGCCGATCAATCACCTGGTGGTAAGCGACTACCTCCATCCATGGACACGTACACGTACAACTCAAGCACAGTGCCTGGCCGATGAGTGCCCATCCTTTCAATGTTAACGAATGGTTCGGCTCTGGTAACCTTGCTTACTTGTGAAATGCAACACAAGGCTTCACGATGGTTTTCTATGAGGCCATCATTTAGCTACATGTGCATGTACCTAAGCACGACTCTCCTACTGTGAAACCGACAACCGCTTTCCATCAGGTGAAAGGTCTGCACGTGCCGTCCCGTCCCCCCCCCGCTTCGCCCCTACATATAATTTTGATGTCCGAAAATGACATTATCTTGTATGCGACAAGTTTGAACGTATCCGTCGTATCTGTACGTGCGTCGTATCTGATGATTATGATATCGTCAAAATGTCCATCTCGGTTTGGCACATATTCTATATTTTGGATCTAGACTCTTCAAATTTTGCATTTCTGTATTTGCTGGGTGGTATTCTATATGATGATGATGATTATGATGTCCTTCCAGACTTCCTATCCATCGACGGCGACACCCTATCACCTTTAAACAACTCCCTTTACGCTCTTATACATGTGTATATATATATTATTATATATATGGGACTCCCAAACGCGAATTTGGGTTGGAATACACGGTTTTGGTATTGTATTCCATAAACGTGGGGCATACTGAAATTCTCTGATCTGGCCACTTATAATAAAATAATGAAAAAACAATTATGGAATTCGAAAATGGAACTCTTTGGGAACATGTTACTTTTTTTTTGCGAGACTGTCATTTGTTTTTTCATTGTGACGTCCTTCATCAGAAAGTCGAACGGTCCTTGAATCTTTCTAATAAAGAGAAATCGTTTTTATAATATTAAGACAAATGTGTAAACGTTACAGCCGGGTCAGGCGTTAGGAGAGGTCCGGATGTCATAACAGCTGTTCCAGGATGCTTCTTATCTTAAGCGTAGCATGGCATGTGATTTTAGTCGGTTCGATTCCAAAACATTGCACTACCGACGCACTGCACTATCGGTGAGGTGACGGTTTTTAAAAGCTCAAAAAAGACTCAGTCGTTTAAAGAAATGCTATCTTCTGCCAAATGCCCAAAACGATGATGAATTTTATCAGCAGATTTCATACCTTTAAGTTTATTTGTTCAGTTAATTAGCACGATGCGATGACTGAACAGCACGCTGCACGACTGACGCTTGTCAGACAGCAGCAACTGTACAGAAGAGACGCAGAAAGAGCCTCCACTTAGCACTTTGACAGACGCCTACGTCAAAGACCTGAGGGTCCATGGCCGACACGATGATAAAGTAACATACTCTAAGTTGTGAACTACCCGTTTTATTTTCAAAAATGTTTCTTTTTTGTCTAGTTATTCGAAACTCTTCGGAGAGAGAGTCCTCAAGCGCTGAACAAGATAATACCCATAGTCGGCGATATCACCGAGCCGGAGTTGGGGATCAGTGCCGCAGATCAAACCATGCTTTGTCAGAAGGTAAGGCCATGGGGCACTTTCATCTAGCACCAAACCTGTTTATTGAATCGGATCATTCTTTTGCATTTAAGTAGTATGGTTGTTTGTCGACTTGTTGGCTGACATGCTTGCCAACTCGTTTGACAAATTATATCATGTAATAGTATGGTCATACAGAATAATATTGTAATATACATATTATTATTTAGATTTAATTACACAATAACAATATGTCTGCATTGGTGTATGACGCTCCGCCATACTTCGTCAAGTCATTTTTTTTTATCAGTTGCTTGAGAACGTAACCGTGCCACAGCCTGCAAATTTTATTTAAAAACAATTATTGTCAGTATCTATAAAGTGTAACAAACAATATAATCAAATTAGAAAATTTCTATTTGTGATATTTCTCACCCTGCGTTTTAAAGTTAAATATTACCAAGTTAAGCAGATTTACGTTTTCAAGCAAATGTAAGAAAAAAAAAGTGTTATCTTAGAACTCAATTTTTCTCGTATGTCCAAGAATGAAGGGAAATTTAATACATCTAAACTAATATTATAAAGCGAAAGAGTTTTTGTTTGAACGCGTTAATCTCAAAAATTACAGGTTCGAACTGAAAAATTGTTTTAGTGTTACATAGCCCATTTATTGATCAAGGCTATAGGCTATATAACATTAGACTTGTCTTAGTGAAGATTAAATAGGGTTTTCAACAGTAAAATAATACTTTAAAACGCTCCTGCATCAGGTATCAGTGGTATTCCACTCAGCGGCAACGGTGAAGTTTGACGAGAAATTGAAATTATCTGTCACCATCAACATGTTGGGAACGCAGCAATTGGTGCAGCTCTGCCATCGTATGCTTAATCTTGAGGTGAGTTTTCTCCATCCAGTTTGAAATAAGATCTCTCTTTTTATCACGCTTTTATGACCTTGGTATGTATGTATGTATGTATGTCACGGAATATTCTAATGTAATTTTGACCCACTTCAAGAGGTCTAATTAAATTTTTACTTTGCTCACTAATCAAGGACTGGTGATAATCATCATCATCATCATCAACAGCCTTTAACAGTCCACTGCTGGACATGGGCCTCTCCTTAGAAAGGAGGTTTTGGCCTACTATACCACGCTGGCCAGACTGGTTGGTATAGGGTTTGTTTCAAGTTTTCCTTCTCTCTGCAGTGCTGTTGTCCTGCGCAGTTTGCTCCCTTCGTCGTCTCTTACGAAACCCACGGCATGAACAGGGGTGGTGACATTCCGTATTCTTAATCCATCACCAAACGGATAGATGACAATGCAATTATTTAAATAGTTTACCCCCATTATCATGATCAACACCTTCAGGATTAACGGCTTCTTCCATACCTAAAAATACGGTAGTGTCTTTTGCCACATACTAAGGCGTGTGCTGAAGCATGTGATAAAGTTACTTGTTACTTTTTAGTCTTAATAATATAATAATCATCAATACTGACTAAAAAACTAAAAATAATGTGAGTAATAAAGTAATGCATGTGATAAAGTTACTTGTTACTTTTTAGTCTTAATAATATAATAATCATCAATACTGACTAAAAAACTAAAAATAAATTATAGTGTTAAAAAATAAAAAAAACACTTTTGTAGCTAGCTGAATTAAAAAGTAGGAAATAATTATCTGTAAGTTCAAAAAGAAAAATAATAATTATCGTAATTATCGTAAAAAGAAGGTATTTTATACTTTAATAACATTACTTTTACAAATATTATTAAAATGTTTTTACAACAATTGAGATCTAGCACCCAAAGCTTTTTTAAGAGCTTCATCTACGTCGTATGAGCCCACAGCAGCAGTCAACAGCACTGCTAAGAGAAAGAAAACTTGACACAAACTATACCAACCTGTCTGGCTATCGTGGTCTAGTACTCGTAGGTCAAAACTTCCTTTCGAAAGACACGCCGTGGATTGCCCGAGGTACGTCGGGGCACCAGAGATTTCCTTTCTGGGGTACACCTGGTTCCCCGGCTAGACCCGAGACGGCGTGCAGTTTTTGGTCGGTTCGAGTCAGACATAATCACCTCAACGGTGTGGGTGATATCCGAGGGGTATTCCGCACAAGAAAAAAAGGGACCCCTACTAGAAACTCTTGACACAAGTGAATGTACCCACTTGTGCTAACATATCTTGTCGTGGGCGTATCTTGATAAGAATATTGTTATTCTCCTTGGTATAGGAATAAAAATTTAAATATGTAAATAATGAACCCACAATACCTAAATTACTGTAAACAATAGGCCCTTTGTTTCAATAATTGTAATATTCTCCTTCTAAAAAAGTAAAATAATAAAAAATAAAATATAATAAAATAAAATTTATTTGCAGAATCAGAATAGTCTTGGTTACATTTTGTATTTGATTTGCATCTTATTGACATTAGATTCTTATATAAAGTTTGTTACTAAAACTAACATAAAACTAGTATATGACTATTCTAAAATGTGCAAGATTGAATATAATGAGGTAAAAAATTCTTCTCTTCTTCTTAATATGGAAATAATCACCGTAAATGACGACTGGATGGCGTAGTGGTTTGCGTAACGGACTGCTATTCCAAAGGTCGCGGGTTCGATTCCCGCTCAAGTCAAACATTTGTGTGCATGAACATTTGATGTTTGATTTGGTCTGGGTGTTTCTATGTATAATATGTATGTATTTACAAAAAAAAAAAAGTATATATGTATTTATATCAGTTGTCTAGTACCCATAGTACAAGCTCTGCTTAGTTTCGGACTAGATGGCGTTGTGTGTATGTGGTAGAATATATTATATATATATATATTATTATAAATATCTAATTAATTCCTATCATCTTTTTTGCCTCCTACACTTTAAACAAACTGTATAAATTAATAATAATATCCATACCAATATTATAAATGCGAAAGTGTGTCTTTCTGTCTGTCTGTCTGTTACTCTTCGCGCTTTAACCGCTAAACCGATTTAAATGAAATTTGGTATAGAGATAAAGAATAAAATGCCACTTTGTTCCCGGGTCCGACCAAATGTTTGTATGATCTGCAAATATTTGTTTGGGAATTGGGGTGTTTTCTCTACGTATAATATGTATACATTTACAATTTAAAAAAAAAGTGTTCCATCAGTCAATCTAGAAGTACTTTCATAGTACAAGCTCTGCTTAGTTTGAAACTAGATGGCATTGTGCGTTAGATGTCTCAAATATATATTTTATTTTATTTTTATTAAAAATATATCATAAAAATAATTCAGTTCTATTAAAATAATAAATTACTTCAATACGTTTTTTTTTTAATTTTTACTTAAATTTTGTTTGAGACGTGCAATGCTTTTTCCAAAGTAAAATTGTACCTAATTTTATTTTAAACAAATTTAATTTAAAAAAAAAAACTATTGTACACCAATTCAGGATATTATACATACAACAACATACAAAAAGCGGCCTTATTGCTAAAAAGCAATCTCTTACAGGTAACCTCTCTGTCTACCTGTTTGTTACGTGTAATCTCCTAAACGGCTGGACAAATTTAGATAATAGTTTACTACCAGGTACCAGATCAACCCTTTAAAATTTTGTCCGGTCCGGGCATCGAACCCACTAAGGCAGCGATTTTCAAATTCCACGCGAACGAAGTCGCGGGTACCAGCTGGTAAGATAATAAGAACAAATTTATTTTAAGTATTATTCCAATATTTTTCAGGCACTGGTCCACGTTTCAACGGCGTACTGTAATTGCGAGAGAGAACGCGTCGAGGAGACTGTGTATGCGCCGCCGGCTCACCCAGAACACGTGGTGACGTTGGTGCAGACTCTGCCAGACGATCTGGTTGACAGAATTACGCCAGATTTAGTCGGTGAGTGTCTTGGATTAAAAATCTCTTTTGTTAATTTCGAAATATTTTGAAAAGGTTTGTCAAGGGGCAAAGCTACCGGAAGGCCAATTCTTGCAATAAAAGCTCGCTCAAAATTCAGTATCGTATCGATCTCGCAACTGTCGTTAAAGGTATTTTCGTAGTAAAATAAAGTATTACTAAGACTAACTGATTACTGATACAATTTTCGGTTACAGGACGATATAATTACATTACAGTTAACGTTGGATGTTTAATATTTTACTACGAAAATACATTTTATTACAGTTGTGAGATCTAAAGTTGATCGAAAGAAGGAACTGAATTGTGTCCGAACTTTTATTACGAGAATCTGCCTTCTGATCTGATAAGCTGGTGTTCTGTGCTGTACTGCACTGGTTATATTGTCATATAAAGAATAGTTTTAGTAATAGTTAATACCATTCCCTGAAGCAAGTAATCCGTGATACATGAATGAGCGACTCGATTTTTAGCCTAATTGAAGGATAGTAGACTATGAAATCGAAAGTTCAATAATTGTACTCGTACATTCTACTGACTCCAGTGCCGCAGTAGGCAAAACCGACAACCGATAACATTTATGAATTGCCCAATTTATACGAATTATACTGTGTCACCACCCCTATTTATCCCGTGGGTATCGTAAGAGCCGACTAAGGGAACAAACTACGCAGGACAACAGCACTGCAGAGAGAAGCAAACTTAACACAAAACTTATACCAACCCATCTGGCCAGCTTAGTAAAGTAGGCCAAAACCTCCTTTCTAAGGAGAGTACTATGTCCAACAGTGGACTCTTAAAGGCGTATACGATTGTACATGTTGTGTATGCGATTTTATACATATCATCATCATCATCATCAACAGCCTTTAAAAGATTTTATTCAAACTGTTTTTTGTTCAAAGTGTTACTTTCCACACTTTCAGGTGACCGGCCTAACACTTACACGTTTACAAAAGCACTTGCTGAAGACATGCTTATAAAGGAAAGTGGGAATCTTCCTGTCTCTATCGTACGACCTTCAATCGGTAAGTTTCATTTTTTATACTTGTACACTACACACTATAAACCTTGGTTAACATTAGTGATGTGCCGGATATCCGTATCCGCGGACATCCAAGGGAGAAGAGAGATCCGTAACTGTATCCGTATCCTTGACTTTTTTGGCGGATCTTTCAATACATAGATGAAATTCTATATAGGTGATTTTGTATTCACTGTAAAACTCTTAGGTATGTGTTTGTAACACTATAAACAGCAACTTTTTTTCTGGCCAACGTCAAAATGAAAAAAAATTGGTCCTCCATTCAAATGACCAATCAAATGTTGTTAGTTTGTATGGAGAAACATTTTTTTTCTTTCGTTTTCGGTGTTAGTCCAGAAGAAAAGTTGTTGTTTATAATGTTACTAATATGCACTTCAGAGGTTTTCAGTAAATTTAAAATAACCCTGAATAATGGTTATTAGGTAGCTATGCAAAACTATTGAATTCTGTTCAGATTACTTTTTATTTCTTAAAACAAATATTTGGCACCTTTGTATTGCAATCATTTATCGTACTACACTAAATTAACTAGGCAGGTCGTAGGTACTGAAAGAGCTATCTTTATGATGAGATCAATCAAACGTCTTTGTATTAGCTTATTAAAATAATGAAATATTTAAATATCAACGGCAAAGCGTCAAGTGGCGACAACAATCAAAGTCACGGGCTCCGATTGAGTAAGAAACTCTAGAAAGTAAGAAAAGATTGTATCCGTATCCGTATCCGCGGATCTTGACACCAAATATCCGTATTCGGATCCGTATCCGCGGATACACTTTGTTAACAATCCGGCACATCACTAGTTAACATACCAACTGGTTGCTAAGCCAGCCAGGTTGTAAGCTCCGGTTTACGGACTCCAAAAAGCAACGTATAGTATATATAGTATACATAAGACATACCAAGTTACTCCTTCGCAATAGGTCTTTTACGTAACAGGTTAGTAAAAATTAAAAAACATATTAATTTGTTTTATTTATTTTATTTATACATCTTTGTTGTACACCGCTACAGTATATATTGTACAGACATGGATGAACATCTATATTTTGGTATTACAATAAGCTTATCTAACAGGCAACCTTTACATGGATATTGTTTAATCTGATATCACTGATTTTTAAGCAAAAGTCAAAAGTTATTAATACATAGTTTATATCTATGGCATATAAAATATTTATTTTAGTTTGTAATATAAGATTTTTAAACGTTGAAACTTAAAAATCTTGAAGACATTATATCGGTATGCAAATTACTGAAATATGAATAGAACAATGAATCACACTGTTCCTGAGCAAGTTTTTGATTAAATTTATCTTAAATTACCTAAATAAATGTAATATTTAAAAGTGCAGAAAGCTGGTAAAATAGCATTATTTGGACAGAACATGAATAACAAATATCCGTTCCAAATAATAGACGTTTCTGTATATGCACATATACATCATGGAGTCACCCAAGGATGTATCTTAGGTCCAGTTATATTTTTTTTTCTCTTCCTAATGATACCGATCTCCAAATTGTATTTTGCTAATGTTTTGGTAATTGAATAGCAATACCATTATCTCATTTACAAATATATTAAAACTGATACCTTACGTACGTACTTTCAAACGATATCAAAACAGTATTTAATAAACATAAATATCCACGAGTTTATATGTAATCTAGAAAATAGAAATGGTGATTCAGTTGAAAACAATTTAATGTAATCGTATGACATACGATGACGTATAACGTATGACGACGACAATACGAACGCAAGAAACCTAAACATGACTAATAATTGGGATTATTTTGGGCAAATATTAGTTTATGGGAAATAAAATGATAAGTAAATCGCCCGGAGTGATACCACCTCAAAGAAAACTGGTTTTAAAGAATTCTTTCATTGCTTTTAACGGAATGAGTGAGGTTATCTGAAGGTAAATTACCAACCGGAGTAGCAATATCGACAGTCAGCTGTTGAAAGCGTTGAGTGTAACTGCGACGCCCCACTATCTTCTTGTGTTGATCCCAAGACCAGAAACTTATTCTGACTATTGCTTGTTCTATAGAGGAACTGGAACTAGTAGGGCAATCTGCCATATTTTATTTCTTGTTTAAAAATTTTGTTTCTTTTGTGATTAAAATAATAACAAGATTTTAATAGCGTATATTGGTGTTCAAAAGCATTATTTATAAAGCTCAACTCTTATTTCCTTTTATACTATTCAAAACTACAGTAATAGTCAGTACCTTAATGTGCACATTGTACTCCTAGGCAATAAACATGTTTCTAGAATTTATCACTGAACCCGCAAAAGATAGGTAATCTCCTATCCTGATTGTAAACCTATATTCTTATCATACAACTATTAGGTATAATTTACTCAACACCTGATAAAAATATACATACTAATCCATATTAATATAATGAATGCGAAACTGTGTATTCTGTCTATCTGTCTTTCTGTCTTTCTGTAACCCCTTCACGCTTGTTTCATTATAAAACAAACGCTTATAAACCCATTTTATCCATTATATTGTTCATCAAGAATCAAAGTATCTTCATTCCATATTTATCTAAATCGGTTCAGTAGTTATAGATTCCCCATACAAACTAGATGCTAGATCTCAATTGTTGTAAAACTATTTACAAAAAGGGTCTCCCCTCCGGCCGCCATTTCGTGTTAGTGTGCGTAGACTGTTCGCACGGAATACACATGTAGTTATCACTTTTGTGCGATACCTACGGGGACAGCTGATTGCATAAAAAGTTTAATTTTCCGGCCGAAAATCCCAATGATTTTCGACTCAGAATGATGATCTGAATACACTATTTCAGTATTCGTTACGACGTCCTTTACACCGAGTATATCACATCTAGCTCACTAACTTATTTAGCTCACTAGCTCAGTGATCCAATTCAATTGATTGATCTCTCAATTATTTCATTTATTTAGTAGTTAGATTATTGCAACACGTTCGTATTGCACTGAATTGCCATGTTGACGTTATGTGTGACACTAGTTTAAGTAGACGAATAATATTATATAAGGTGTTTATCCACAATGCACGCTAAAACGATTTATCACTGATATCTTTGTCACATTAAACGAATTCGTTGATAGCCAATCTGACACAGTTTTCTACTTACAAAATGATTTGACGTAATATAGTACGGAATGCATGTGTACATTATACAATAATAGCTGAATTTCACATCACACCACACATCAACAGTCTTTAATAGTGTTCAATAGTGGACACTATTGGACATAGGCTTTTCCTTAGATACAAAGTTCTACAATGCCACGTTCGCCAGATGGGTTGGTGTAGGGTTTGTTTCAAGTTTGCCTTCTCTTTGCAGTGTTTTAATCCTGCAGAGTTTCTACCTTAGTCGGCTCTTACGACACCCACGGGATGAATAGGGGTGGTGACACTTCCTATTGTTAATCCGTCACACACTGATGAATCTATATATAGAATTGCTATTCCCCGCAGATGGAACTTCGCCCTCGTGTGAGTGCGAACTTCCATACAATCGTTCATCCATTATTTTACTTTCTAGGGTTAAAATTTCCTAAAATCAATCCTTAGGTGGGTGTTTACATCATAAAAAGCATCCGCTCTCAAAATTTTAAGCTTGTAGCTCCAGCGGTTTAGGCTCTGCGTTGATGAATAAGTTAGTCAGGTATTTTTTTTATGTATACATTTTTTATTATCTACAAATTCACCAACCATAGAGGGTCTTTAGGTGGATCTACAAAACATACAAAACCTTACACGTAGTTTCTTGTTACCTAACAGTTATTGGTTAGTTTGGCAAATTGTCACCCTGAAAATAACTTTTGTCGAAGACATGACGGATAACATAATAATTAGGAAACAATAGGTCTTTACCTATGAAATTGCCGTTTTGTATGCAATAAGTGAAAGTACTTATTTTTTCAAACTTTTTTATTTCTGTTATTCGAAGTAGTCACCCATGCAATCGACGCATCTTTGCCAAGGCATTGGCAGTTTATTGATGCCCTTCTTGTAAAAATCAGCTGGACGCAAGGCAACAAACTCTTCAAAGGCATTTTGTACTGCCTCTCGGGAATTGAATTTTTTACCCACTAAAAAGTTGTCTAAATTTTGGAAAAAGTAATAGTCGGTAGATGCAAGGTCTGGTTCTTATTGCATACAAAACGGCAATTTCATAGGTAAAGACCTATTACAACAAATCATTACAGTCTTTACACAATTGTTTGCTCTGATCTAGCATTCTTATGTTCTACCTCTGGCTGGTTTGCATAACAAACTCTTAAATCTATTGATCTACCTGCCCTGCCTTTTCTCTATCTTGGTCATCAACGACTATAGCAACAACAGATATCCCCAACCCACTATACGCTGCCCTTAAACCGAAGCTTCTTCTAACTACTTCGGTGAGGTATTTCGAAGGTATTTATGCTGGTTCCTACCTACTAATGGAATGCATTAAAAGCAGTTCCAAAATAATTTCCCTGTTAATTACTTAATTGATGGACTTTGCCAAGATATCGGTGTTCTTGGTGATAATCTTATCACTTAAATTATATTCAATGTGTTATCAGTATGAATCACCATCAATATCAACCGCACCTCCGCTGTGTGTAATATATATGTGTATTTTACCAGCTAACCCGTCTGTGTCCGCAATTACGTCTGCGTCACTCCAAAGGAATTAATTTTCCCAGTTTTTGCAACAGTTCATAGATTTTTGTCTCCTATTAGCCGAGGTGTGTTGTTATATAGCCTTTATCAATAAATGCGCTATCCATCACTAAAATAATTTAACAATCCAAACAAGCAGTCCCTGAGATTAGCGAGTTCAATCAAAGAAACTTCAGCTATATTTAAAATAAATATAGAAATACCCACAACAGTCATTTTATTAACACAATCGAATAGCGCCTTGCGTACGTTTTGAATGATGGTGATAAATAACCGAATAATTATTTATGACACCAATTTTTCAAAGGCTAATCATTATTCTATCACTCGACTAGTATTATCCTGAAGATATTTTCGTTACTACTCTATAATAGCATCAATTAAATGCTATATTTAAGGCAGAAAGTGGCGCATAATAGGTAAGTGTTATTCGTCTTTGATCAATTAAAAATGAGGAACCGCCTCCTTGTAATTTTTTTAACGTTAGAGGGGGCAGACGGGTCACCTGATGGAAAGTGACTATCGCCGCCCATGAACGACTGCAACTCAGGAGTCACAAATGCGTTGCCGGCCCCTTAGGAAGGAGTACGCTCTTTTCTTGAAGGTTTGAAGGTCGTATCGGTCCGTATACTTGTCTATCGTTGTTATTTATGTTTGAGTAGCATCGACAGAGATCTATAACGATACATACACTGAATGCTTAGTCTTCGAAGAGGTAGAGAGACATAAAAAGGTATATATAGCTCATTAGACCGACCCGACCCCCGACCAGCACACCTCGTCGTTCGGTGTCCACTAGTTGTCGACAGGTGATACACGGGTGGACGCCGCGCTGTTGCCCATTCAATGTTCAGTGGTTAACGAGCCGACATTGCACTGTAGTTTTTTATGGTCGTTACTCGCCCATGCATCGTCGTCGCGCGTGAACCACGTTAGAATTGAAAACCTTCATTAATGGATTTGAATACCTTCATTGCGGTGACCCATATGATTGTCTGCTTGCCTGGTGTTTCAAATTAGTCGAAACGTCATGATTAATCTAATTCCGTGCAAATAAAGCTGTTATAATAACATTGTGTGTGTGTGTGTGTGTGTGTGTGTGTGTGTGTAGAGGCACATAAGTTTGCCAGAATATTCACAAACTTTCACCTTCAAGGTTTTTAAGACAACCTGACAGTTTACCACTTCCTTCTTCATACTTATTTCTTTTGTTTTCATTATTCATTATTTCTATTACTTGGTTATACTTCTTGATAAGTCCGATACCTTATTTATAACTCTCTAGTCAAACCACACATTGATTACTTAGTGAATATGGGGGAAATATGGGGAACCGCGGGTAAAACTATATTAGATGACTTACAACGAAAACAAAATAAATTAATAAAGGTTCTTTTTAAATACAACTTTCTTACTCCCACTAAAAAAATATACGAGGACACCAAAATAATGACCATAAAGCAATCTTATATATACTACACGTGTATATTGGTACGTAAAATATTAAACAGAAATATTCATACTAGTTCATCTTTTACAACAAATAGTGCTCGGCAAAAAATGAAACTAAGAAACGCTTCCCATCTTGTAACTCGACCACCCAGAACGAACTATGGAAAGAAGAATATTGAATTTGAAGGAGTAAAGATATACAATAAATTACCATTAAATATAAAAAATGCTACTACATTGACTACATTTAAAAAAACATTGAAGAAACACATAGCAGCTACTTATTAGTTAATACATTATTATTGTACTAAAACATTCACAATCAAATAAACTAATAAGGATAAAAACAATTCTATATGCACATAATATTCGTGTGTGTGCGTGTGTGTGTGTGTAAGTGCATGCAGGGTATGTGCATGTATGTGTGTGTATGTATATAGTGTGTATCTGTACGTCTATGCATATGTGTATGTTTTTATATTTACAAATACAAATTTTAATATAAATAAAAAAAAATAATAAGAAAAAACAAAATCTCAAGTCTCAATCAAGTATCAAAAAAAAAAAAAGGAAACCCAATTCAGTAATAAAAACTAGAAGAGTGTACTTACCATCTGGATGCCACATCTAGTTAATAATTTCAAGTTACATCTTTGGTTCAGTTGCTTGGATTCCCATTGTTTTCTGTGTTCGAGTGTTTTGCAAGTTCGTAATCTTACGCAAAATATATTTGACTACCCACTTTTATTTTATATTGTATTCAAACCCTCAATGGATTTATTTTGTTTACTTTTATGTATGTTTTCTCAGTAAGTGAATTTTGTAAATTCTTTTGAGAAAGAAAGATTCTTAAACCAAAAACCAGATAAGACGGCAGTCATCATCAGCCTACCGCAGTCCACTGCTGGTCATAGGCCTTTCCCATTGCACGCCACGTAGATGGATCTGGTGCCCGCACGAACCAAACTGAAGATTAATCGTCCTCATCTTGTCAAATTATCTTTATATTGATTCAAATGGGTACACAGAAAAGCTTAACATTAAGCTTAAAACTAAGTAAAAGTCGGTACCAAATTACACAGTGCGCATTTTTCATCAGATTTTTGCAGGAGACGGCAGTAGCTGCGTATTTTTTGCAAAGCATTCACATTGAAATATGTAACTGTGTTGACCTAGCGCCAGTTTTATTTTAACGATTAAGCTTAAGTTTATTAACAAATCTCGCTAAATCGATTTATCGATGATATCCTTGTCACGGGTAATGAAAGCCGTTGATAATATATCTGGCACAAATAGGCAGCCTATCTTATAAAAATGATTCATAAAGGAAAATAACAAATGTAGTGAGTCATAATACACGTGAATTATACTCGCGTGATTATTTTAAGTTCCTAACTTTCGCCGAAGGTTCCATACCTACCCAGATTTTACGTAGATTTTCGCGAAAATTTGTAAGTACCAAAATTTTCAATTTTGTTTATTTTTCAAAAAATAATAAAAGTTAAAATTAAGATAAATCGAAATTTGCCCATATCTTTTTATCGTGTTGACTCAGGACCTTGATTTTTATACACCTAATAGGGATCATAGACGTCAGTATCTGGTATAAATTGGTCTTGGTCTACCCGTTCCTGAGAAAATCGGTGGTGACACACGGACACACGGACAGACGGACAAGAAAGTGATCTTATAAGGGTTCCTTTTTTACCTTTTGAGGTACGAAACCGGTACCCGGAACCGGAATGTCGGATTGAATTGAAATTTTGCACAGTAATCAAGAACCGATGTCAATACAATAATTTAATAAGTTTACTTGATTAACCTTGTCAGGATCTTCAGAATTAACGACTTTTTACATTTCTGAAAACACGAAAGTGTCTTGTGCTATGTACTAAGGCTTGTACTGACGCGTCACTTATTTACTAGTTATTTTTTTAGTATTGAAGGATGAAATAATAATCAAGGATAAAAAAAAAATTTGAACTCATAGAAAAATGTGTTCTACTTTTTAATTCGGCTAGTAACAAAGCTATGAGCTATAAGTTGTCGGTATAAGGTACAATTACAAAGTACGACCAAATGAAACAGGCTTAAATTATGCTCCTTGAAATTCAATGCAAAATGTTCGAGGAATTAAATTTTGTTTTTTATTAAACAACTCTTAAGAATTGTAATCATTGTTCACAGTTCAGTAAAATTATAAAAATCAATCGCCGATTACGAGAATTTTTGCCTGTAATCGAAATAATTATCAGGCATAAACTTCACGCATATTTTTAAAATAAAAATTTACTTTCATAAAGATCCATGAAAGACGAAACATTTCAGACATAATTTTTCCTTACATTGGGTAAGATTACCTGTCCTGAACTTCTTTCGAAAATAAAGTTCAAAATTTACTAGTTAGAAATTTGGATGAAAGCTTCTTGCTATAAATAGACCTCCGACCTCAACACTAATTTTAGACTGAATTGCTTTCTCCCTGGAGTATTCAATAAATTAAACAAATTGCATGTCGACCGTCGTTTTGATCTTTTTACTACCGGCAAACATTCTGCCAGATCATGTTTGACTAAATACTTTGTTGATAATGTGTAAATGTTTTATATTACTATTGGCTCAATCTTGTGAAACATCTGTTAAGTACTCATTAGCATAATTAACTGTGCTTAAGCTGTTCAAAGATGCTTCAGACTAATTGTGGAAGCGTGTTATTGGCATTCCTTGATCTAATTTGTATATCTATTGGTATATCTAAGTAAAATAAAATATTCAGTTGCCTTTATCTTCAACTTCAAATGCAAGTGGTCGCAAAAAAAAATCATTTTTTTATGAAACTTATTGTTTTCTCCGCCTCTAATTCCCTCGAGGGTTTGTTAGATAAGTGGATAGACAACTTCAGAAGCATCAGTCTCAAATCTTTGGTTTGTTGTGATCTGTCGTGTTAATAATAAAACTTTTTTATTGTTTTCAGTGCTCTCATCTCTCCGAGAGCCAGTTAAAGGTTGGGTGGACAACTGGAATGGGCCCAACGGTATCATTGCAGCGGTTGGTAAGGGTATCTTCCGCACCATGCTGGGAACCGGCACGAAGGTTGCAGATCTAGTGCCAGTCGATACAGTCATCAATCTAATGATTGTTTGCGCGTGGAGAACGCATTTAAGACGGTTAGTTAATTTTAAGTCAAAATATGAGACTAGTTAAGTGAATTAATATTGTTACAATAGCCTGAAGTTAAGTGTTAGACGTTTTTAAATTAAATAATATAAAAATTAATGAAGTAATAGAGCATAGAAGATATCACATCAAATCATATCCATCGACTAGTCTGCAGCATGCAGATGTTATTATACCCCACCCAAGACCAACGCAAATTAAAAAAACCTGGCCTTGTGTGTTATGACAGAGATAAAAAGCAGCAAACCGCACACACGGCTAATGAAATATCTGTTCATGTTTATTTTTTATTTATTTATTTACGACTTCATGCACAAATGTGTACATCGGCGGACTTAATGCCTAAGGCATTCTCTGCCAGTCGACCGATTGGGCGATGCAGAGAAAGAGTGAGGTAGGTGCATTTATGGGGATAAATGATAGTTCTTATTCAGGACCATTTGTCCTTCGAATAGACGTATACAGGCAATGATATATGGTTTATGTGTATGTATTATTCCGTAATGTGCGTGAACTGTAAAAACTCGTTTCTTTACTCGTACATTTATAATTTTTTATCGCTGGATGAAATCATTCAGCGTTATTAGTTTCAATTTCTCTAGTTTTAAAATTAAATTATAATTAAGAGAAATAAATTCCCTAAGTATATGGTTACTACAAAACACGTTCTACTCTGACAAAGAATTCTAAAACATCATGACACATTAAAAATATTGATATAAATTGTTACCTAATTATATTTTTCCATCGTAGTTTTAAGGTTCTCTTTGCATACCGTCTTAATGGCTAAATAGGCAGAAAAAATTGTAAACCCTATTGATGGTAAATAAAGAATTTGTATTTGTAAAATTACAGATATTTCATACTACCGACCAGGTATTTCGTTTACCGTGTGTACATTGGTACATACTACTACATCATGATAGTCTTCTTTTGTACAAAGCAAAAAAAAGGCAAAGGCAAAGCATCACAATACCTGTTGGAGGACTAGCATTGCTCCTTGCGGCAGTCCCTACGACTTTTATCACTTCTGCAGTCGAATAACACGTAATTTAACTTTAAGGTATTGCTATTTTCCACGAATCTGATAGTAATTATATTTTAGAAAATGAATTGTAATATGTTATTCCTGACACGTCAAGAACAGTGTGTCAACGTGTCTAAGGTCTCACGAATGTCTTTTTTTCTTTTATTTGCAGAGGTGAAGGTGTCGTGGTATATAACTGCTGTACCGGCCAACAGAACCCCATCACGTGGTCGCGTTTCGTTAAGACCAGCTTTAAATACATGCGGAAACATCCTTTCAGTGAGTATAATTGCTAATTAAGTATATTTTGGGGCTCATCGCTAAGTGGTAACCCATCAGGTTAGCACATTGCAAATTTAACCGATCTTAGCTAGGATCATACGAACATCTGTGGCAATCAATTTGACTGGCCTGTTGGTCTAGTAGTTAGTGACCCTGACCGCTACGCCAGAGGTCGTGGGTTCGATTCCCACCCAGGACAAATAAATGTGTGATGAGCACGATCGCTTGTTCTGTGTCTGGGTGTAATTTATCTATAATATGTATGTATTTAGAAATATATATGTATGTTTATCAGCGGTCTGGTTACCATAGTACAGGCACTGCCTAGTTTGGGATCAGACAGCCGTGTGTGAGATGTGTGAAACTATTATTATTATTATAAATCGTTACGGGTAGTTGGAGCCCTAGAAAGTCCTACAACAGTCTATCTGTAGATAGACTAGGACTTTCTAGGTTCTTTCTAGACTTCTGGGTTGTTGTAGAGGAAGTAGACTGAAAGCCAACCCCAACTTAGTTTGATGATATGAACTTGTTATGAGTATTCTTTAACTAATTCTTCCTCTCTTTTACGCCATCATTATAATTTTACTCTTAGGACGTCCACAACTACACCATGGGCGGCGGTAATCACTTACCATCAGGTACTCTTCTGCTCGTGTGCATCGCTATACCATAAAAAAACAGCGTGAGGAGTCTATAGACGTCCGGTCGGAACTAAGTTCCTTTCGCTTTTTGGTAGACGTTTGCTACATATATGAAATATGAAAATAATGTGAGCGTCGACGCGCCAACTGAAGTGTCAGAAAAAGTCTTGTTACACATTTTTGAGTCTAGTCTTGAGATATTTAGAAACTATATACTTATTTACATATCAATGCTGTTCTTGGATATATTTTTTGTTTTTGGATAAAGTTTATTATAATAATCATAAATGTATGAAGTTCTCTCCCACAATATATACAGAAACTAAAGGTAGACTGGGAGAAAATGCCTGTGGAATTAAGACCGCCATTGTACAATTAATTTGTAATTTGTGCATAACAAGTATTAAATAAATATATATCGATACACAACTACAAAACTAAGTACTAATATTATAAAGGTACGGTCCCAAAAAACAGAAGAAGTTATGAGAGGGTGCCGTGTTAAATTTTTTTGTTGTACATGTCTTGCCTTTCCTGCGCATATCCTTAATAATATTAGAATTTTAAGACATACTAATGAAATACATGTTACTTGGATGTCGTGCCCTTTAGGTGAGGTGGTGTGGTATCCTGGCGGGGACATCACCAGCAACAGGTTGAAGCACGGCACCCTGTCGCTGCTGCAGCACCGCGCCCCCGCACTCGCCATGGACCTCGTCTCCAGCGCCACCGGAAAGAAACCCATGTACGTGAACTTATTTTATTGTTCTAAACAATACACTCACATTGTGCTCTTGTAACTTGCTTAAACTAAACTAAAAAAATAATAATGAGAAACTTCCTGTGTGGTCTTCATATTAGTTAAAGGTATACCTTCTTTTCTTATTCAGGTGTGTAGTTCAGTGATGTCTGTGACAAATAGCATTAATAATGTCATCATCATCATCATCATCAACAGCCTATACTAGTCCACTGCTGGACATAGGCCTCTCCTTAGAAAGGAGGTTTTGGCCTACTATACCACGCTGGCCAGACGGGTTGGTATAGGGTTTGTTTCAAGTTTTCCTTCTCTTTGCAGTGCTGTTGTCCTTAGTTTGCTCCCTTAGTCGGCTCTTACGACACCCACGGGATGAATTGGGGTGGTGACAATTTGTATTCTTAATCCGTCACCACACGGAAATAATAATGTACACATATAAAATTACTTGCACTGACTGACTAACTTACTTATCAACGCAGAGCCCAAACCGCTGGGGCTACAAGCTTGAAATTTTGACAGCCAAAGCTTTTTATGTTGTAAGAAAATCTTTTTGTTTTTTTTTCCCCCTAATAATGTAAAGGGATGATAGCGTATAGAAGTTTGTCATTTTCAAAGTTAGAAACATGAAATAAGAAATAATCGCGGGCGATTAGCTGGTTTTTAATATTTATAGTCCGGCGGTACGTTACAACATCATCAATATAAATCAATGATATTTTTTGAACCAGGATGGTCCGCGTCCAAAACAAATTGGAGAAGGCAGCGGCTTGCCTGGAGTACTTCACGACACGTCAGTGGGCCTTCGCCGATGATAACGTACAGGCACTTTGTACTTCGCTTTCACCAGAAGACCGCAGGTTTGTTATGCATCAGAAGTATTTATTTTAACTAAAGGCATCGAATTTTTATAGTTTCTAAACGAATTCTGTCTCCCCCCCCCCCCCCCCCCCCCTCTCTCTCTCTCTCTCCCTCTCTCTCTCTCTCTCTCTCTCTCTCTCCCTCTGTCTCTCTCTCTGTCTGTCTTTCGATTTCCACTTACTTAAATAAAAGTATGAAATATGGTTATGCCTATGCTTCGGCACAAATGATCCGGCTCGAGCCGAGTGATACCACGGCCTTACAGAAGACTAGTGTTAAACAATTTTTTCGTATACCAAACCCTCTTATACCAAAAAAAAAGAGTGAACCATTTCATTTGAGTACGTTTAATTTACGAAAATGGAATTTACGTAGGTATAGAATCTTTTGTGTCGTCGCATTATTGATGCTTTTTCTTAGAGGCGCTGAAATTGCCTTCACGTTTAAGACGTACTCTCATAAGCAAACTTATTAACAACTTAAGATAATAATAGCTTTTGGCCATTTTAACAACCTTCAACTTTAGGTAAATTGGCACCCTTGAATATTGAAAACAAAATATTATTAATTCCTTAGAAGTTTATAAAGATTTGATAGAGATTATCTCTTATTGAGACACATCTGCCTCTATAAAAATAAATAAAACCTAATATCATATGGATTCGGCAAAATCTAAAAAATAAAATGTTTATGAGTTATCTAGACAACTTAATATGATTTTCTTGCAAGTAAGCATCACATACGATAATTAATTATTGTAATAAGGAATAATTCGTTCAATCCATCAAAGGCTGTGTTATTTGCTTCTGTTATAGGACGTTCGACTTTAATGTGCGGAACATCGACTGGGACGCCTATATCGAGTCGTACGTGCTCGGCATCAGAAGGTTCCTATTCAAAGAGAGCCCCGACACGCTACCCAAGTCCCGGTCTGTGCTCAACAGGTAAGACAGCTAGCCTTAGTGTAGCCATGGGATATTGCCGTTTGATTTTGTCAAATAAACAGTAATTTATTGTTGGCTATTAACGTCACAGTTTAAGCTCGTACGTAATATGTAAGTAACAGAATATTTTTTATTATAACACTCTGTTACCAAGTACGGAATAAACATGTAATAATTATAAGACACTAGCTGACCCGCGCAACTTCGTCTGCGTCTCTCAATAGTAATAAATTTTCTCCGTTTTTGAAACATTCTTCATTGGTGCTCCGCTCCTATTGCTCTTAGCGTGATGATATATAGCCTATAGCCTTCCTCGATAAATGGGCTATCTAACACTGAAAGAATTTTTCAAATCGGACCAGTAGTTCCTGAGATTAGCGCGTTCAAACAAACAAACAAACAAACAAACTCTTCAGCTTTATAATATTAGTATAGATTATAAAAATTGAAGGGCCAATGTACGACAGAAGCGCGGCAGGCGACTCTGCTATCTTTGCCGCAAGATCTTAAGGTGTTAAATTTTATGGTGATTTTGTTCGACGTACTTGATCTTTGACGGGTCTGTATGTCTAATAGCTGACTGCTTAGCCGGAGGTCGTGGGTTTGATTCCCACTCAGGACAAATAATGATGATGTCCTCCACGACGTATCCATAGATCGCGAACTACCTACTGTAGATTTCTAATATGGGCGCGGATATGACTGGCGAATCCGAAACAGATAATAGTGTAATGAGTGGTCATTTGTTCTATCTGAGTGTTATTTATCCATACTAATATTATAAAGCTGAAGAGTTTGTTTGTTTGTTTGTTTGTTTGAACGCGCTAATCTCAGGAACTACTGGTCCGATTTGAAAAATTCTTTCAGTGTTAGATAGCCCATTTATCGAGGAAGGCTATAGGCTATATATCATCACGCTAAGACCAATAGGAGCGGAGCACCAATGAAGAATGTTTCAAAAACGGAGAAAATTTATTACTATTGAGAGACGCAGACGAAGTTGCGCGGGTCAGCTAGTCTATTATATGTATGTTTTTTGAAATATTTAACGATGTTTATCAGCAGTCTAGTTACCATAGTACAGGCCCTGCCAAGTTTGGGATCAGACGGCCGTGTGTGAGATGTGTCAAGTTTTTGTCACTTTTTTTAAATCACACTATAAATGTTTTCACAAAAAAAGTACTAAATCAGTCAGTCTAGTTTTCATAATACAAGCTCTGCTTAGTTAGAAACTAGATAGCGTTATGTTTCAGATGTCCAAAAATATTATTTATTTAAAATTGTATGTCGGAACGAATGACGAAATTTATTGTAATGCTTGTTTTATTTCTTTCAGATTACACATAGTCCACATTTTAACTCAAGTGGCGACTGTGTTCTTCCTATGGAGATTTCTATTTTCCCGCTCGAATACGCTACGCAACATTTGGCGGCGTGTGCTAGAGCTTTTAACGAGGGCAGCCCGACTTTTAGCCATAGCCTGATGGCACACCATGCCTGATACACCCTCATTAGCGCCCACTCGTTCCCAGCTTCCAAACATGCTACGATAAAATACCTAAATCAGACGTATGCCTAAGTCATACGTTTGATATTTGTTTGACAATTATTACAAGATGGCGTCTTTCGCCAGTTCAACATGACACCAATAGATTGTTAAGTAGACAGGCAAATAATTTAGGTGATAATTTTCCTCTTTGAATAAGCTTTGACGGGGCTGTTATATTTGCTGCTAGTTTTATACTGTGCTATGGAAAATATATTCAATTTCTTATAATGGCTAGTTTTAGATTTAATAACGACCTGCTTGAACCTTATTTTAAAGGAAAATAATATAGTTGATATTATGACTAGTAATTTTTGTTACTTCTCTTGTATATTTAAAGTTGTTGAGCATTTAGTAAAATTGTAACTGTTCCATAACACAGTATATAATCTAATACCTCCCAAGCACTAGAATGTTAGTTACGAATCGTTATAAGTAATAGTGATTCCAATAATTTTGTACCTTTAACAGCTCAATATGTAAAGAGTTAAAAAAAAACTGTTATCGCCTAGTTCTGATCACAATAGCGAACGTTATATTAATATACGTGTAATACACGGGATTATTTGTGCAAATTGATGCTAAAATATGTCAGTTATGGTGCCAATATGTCTTCGAGTCTTCATTTTTTCGATGGTATTAATACACTTACGCTAGAAATTCGTCCTGCTATGAAATCGGTTGTTATTATACAATCTATACTATTGCCCCATTAAATACATTAACACTCCTTAATGCTATTCATTTTAAAGTAGGAGATATATACAAATTCAAGACCAACGATTTGTAAAGCACAAATAACTGACGAATAGATTTTTGAGGAATTTGAAATGAAATGGCCAAAAAAATATTCAGTTGATTTTTTCTCTAAACGCTATAAAAGTTTCTTTGCAGAAATATCTATCATATCAGCAGATTCATAAGCGTTATAACAAAAAAAAATACGTTTTATGATCTACACTAGTCAGAAATATTTATTCAAATATCAACTTACATATATCAGTGACGTCACAATACTGAGGAGATGTCACTTAAGTCAATATTTAATGAAATGTGACACTTTGAACACTTGCTAAATATATTGAGTCGTTTGAACGCAAAAGTTAGTGTACCCATGTAAAGTAAAAGAGACCAGATGATTGTTAACAAGTTATATAATTAGATAAAGTATAAACGGAATGTTCTGTGACTTCTACTAATTTATCGTCTATCACAGTATTTTCTCCTCGTTATAGAATTGAAAGTGATCATTATACGGATGAGTTTTTTATATATCATGTCAAATGCCTACCGATTCAGTGATAAACATATTCTTTGGCTGTTTCGGGATCTCTTGAACTTAAATGTATTATAATATCTTATTAACACAGACAAGAAAATGTATGTTACTGAACTTTTGTTTATCTCCATGTTAAAATCGAGGCATGATATCTGAAATTTTCATCGTTATTCAAAAATAAAACTTCTTTTTTGTCACGATGGCAGCATTTGGTTCAAAAACGATTGATTAGAAGATGTCACAGTTTAAAATAATGGTGATTAAAGAATCGCGTGGTTTGATAGCGGCTAGGAGCGTAGAGTTTAATTCGGATTTATATAAAGAAAATTAGTGCATCACTGCAGAGAAACGCGATATTATTTCTATTCATTTGTCAAATTACGCTTCACCTACGCCCTAATTAGTTTTTAATTCCCAATAACGTAATGTCTTAAAAAAGTTTTACGTTTATATATATAATGATTTGTAACTCTTATTAAGGAGCAGTATACATTGAGTTGAAGTGATTTTTTACTTAGCTTGTATGATTTGGCTCATATTCCTTTATTTGGCTGTAATGAAGCTCAATTTCATATTCTTCCTTCACATGCTATTTTAAATGGCTGTTTATAAAAGTGTGTGTGTCGACAACAGTGTCTATTTATACGTAAAAATATTAAATTTTTTACGAAGTTCCCATGTCATTAAAGTTTTTAAGAAATATGGGGATTTCAGATTTAGAAATAGTAGGATTTCATTATTGAAATTTCACATGCCCGAGGCCTATAATTAAATAGTTTGTAATAGTTAAATGCCACACATTTTTAGTTTCAATTTATAGATCTAACAAGGGGTTTCCATCAAATTATTATTCCAATAGCTGAACTACGTATCTACTTCTTATAAGACGCATAATACTAAATAGATTCGACGTCACGATGTCCTTAACACTGTGTCTTCTAAATTAATTTATACAAATCCTACGACGTAATGATTTATGTTTAATATGTTAACCTATTGCAATTTATATATTTAGACGACATCCTAGTTTTTTTTGTGTCTAATAACTAACAAAATATTGCCACATCAATTGAAATGAGTATGAATTATAGTAATGGCGTTGAGTTAATAGGACAGAATAAAAAAGTCAGTACTGATGTGGAAAATGAGAGTAATTTATTTCTTAAATGAAGGATTTTATATTTTGATTTTGGATTCGATAATCATGATATAGTTTTTTACTTGATGGGTAGGTAACATTGGAGCAGTCAGCTAGTCGTTATTAATTGAATAATATGACATGGGTCCTTCTAAGCTGGTTTAAATGCAAGCCACTTTTTTTAAAAATAAAATTTAAAAAAATCGTTCCAAAATGACGCTTCCTTAGTAATAACGAAAGTAGATATTTATTGATTTTTTATAAAATAAATTGATGTTCATTTTGAGAGTATCTAAGCTAGGATACCTTACGAGAACAGGTCACTCGGATAACGCCCCTTCCAAATGCGTACTTATAACTTGGTTGTCTAAGTCTACCAACGAACGCAAATTGTCTTCTTAGTCCCACAATAATTGGTGTAAGCTGTACTTGTTAAGTAATGCCTAAGTTTATACGACATGTTATTTAAGTGTTAGCAATTTTTTATTGTATAAGTCTAACGCAGGACACTTTGGCTCTCACTATTTTCACCTAAGTCACAGAGATCGTTCGTAGGCGGAATAGTCTGCGCAAAGTTGGGATTTGTAATTTTTTACATAACCATGCATTTGCTGTTATGATCTTCCTTAATTCCTAGCTAGAAATATTGCGATTATCTTTATAATATTCATTCTTACTCTTAAACTGCTTTTATTGCTCGTGAATATCGTTTCTAAGTTCTTCCTACTCATTAATATTTAAGTGCTGGAATCCCTTGACTTCCCCGTAAGTTTAGAATTACTTAGTAAATTTCAACTTTGCGTTCGGCATTCCAATTTTTCCTCCAATGTCGTAATAATTTACGTTCTCTTAGTGTAAATTTGAAACTTATCGATTCCTAAAAAGGGAAGTGGATATGTGGTGGAATAATTTATCGAAGTCACCGAACATGCCTTTGGTTTAATATGTTAAGTAATTTCGATAGAGTGTTAGTGGGTGCGTCAATATTTAATTTTGCCTGTAAGTATATATGTACATTTTGAAAAGAAAAAAAAATACTTCAGTCACATTTATTGTTTTTTCAAAAGCTTGTATACTTTTCTGTTTAGTAATTTTTTGTATTTAATTAAGTTAAGAAGATATTGTTTGGTATACTTTCCGGTGAAAATGTTCGTGCTGAGTTATATTTGTGTAAATAGAATTTAGTTATCCCAAAGTTAAATCCAAATATATACATGCGGGAATAATTCTTCATTTTTTCGCTGTATCTTTGACAATGTAGACATGTTTTGGAGTGGTGTAAGGTTTTGGCGGTTTTCGAACGTACTTGTAACGGAACCGTATTTTCTCAAACATGTTTTGAATTCAAAGATGTCGATATACGAATCAAAATTGGTGAAATATTCTGGTAGTAAATTGAATATAATTAGCAAACTACTATATCAAAATCACAGACGTTTGATGAATCCCTATGTGTACATTTTCTATAGAGAAACTAACAGAAATGTTTGATTAAACGAACAGAAGTGTCGTTCGAAAACCGCGTTGTAATGCTTTAAAGTTGTTTTGCTTAGATGCCAACGGGTGATGGTTAAGCTAAATCTGTAAAACATTGGTGGGATGTTACATATATACATATATAGCGCCGATTTAAATATGCTCAATGGTTGATCGTCGATTTTCTATCTCTGGGCTATGCGGAGAGAACAAATAAGATATTTGTATTGAGGTAGAGTATACCCCTGTGGAAGTTGTATTAAATGCACATACTATCATGGCGAAAAAAATAAACAGTTAAAAATACATCCCAACTTCAGTGATTTCATAAACGTGAATTGAAACCATGTTAAATGGTTTCAGCTGTAGCATCACAATTTCTTTAAAATTTTGATATTTAACCGTATCAATTATGACTTTGTATGTTATTGAGTTTAGGTATAAAAGTCTTTTAGTAAAGGCATTATTCTTTTATCGTTTTGAAGTAATGACAAATGTCCAATACATTGTAAGTCATTTTGATAAAATAATGAACATGAATAATATTAAAACAAAATCAAATAATATTTGAAGTGCACAAAATGATTACTCGTGTTAAAAGATTAAAATGCTCAAGATAAAATTTATAATTTCTTTTTAGATCAACCTATATCTTACTAGCGAGAAAAAGTTACACGCATTAGCCCAGTTAGAAAGAGATAGCGATAGTACGCAGGCAGCGAAACGTGTCTCGGTAATAGGACGGTATATACATAGGGGGGGGGTTTATTTATTATTCCATAATGTAATAAAACGAATGTAAAGTTTATTATGTTTCATTCGAAACACCTTTGACACATCCTGTCCTGATTCCTCTGCATCCCGTGTGAGGGTTACAAAGTATACAGCTAGGTCTACGGTAGACGAGCCGAGCACGAGCGGAGCCATTCTTGGCGTCGTCGTTCACGGCGTCAAGTATGGACTTACAACGAGTTTACAACGATCCCTTGTCTCGAATGACAAAAATTTGTCATTTTAAGGCCTCCTTGGATATATCTCCTTTTTAAAAAAAAAAGAACTCTCGCACTAAGATTAAATCCGGTGTCGCAGGGGACTTTACAAAAATATATGAAACGGACAAAAAGGATACCCAACAATAATTTGTGGGTCATATAAAGTAATGTGGGGATCGAACCCACAACACTAAGCGGCGAGGTGACCGCTTAAACCAGTCAACTCTACTGGTTCTTCTTCTTCTTGGTTTGACTATTTGGGGACCTTGAAAAGTAGCGCTATATCTGGAAACATGCCAAGTAAAAGGCCGTGGGTTATTCTGAATTTTTTCGTGACAACAAAAATATGGCTGGAGAAATATAGAGAAATAAATGTTATTTTGTCATGGCGTGACTGTCTGCTATTAGGTGTAGGCATATACCATCTACTGGTATTCTTGGAGGTTTCTCCAACTTGAACTATTTAGCTGCGATAAGGGTTTCACGTCGGTGGTACGCTGGCTGTAGCTTATGTCAGAAACATACAAACCAATTCTCGTAATAAAAGTTCGGTCTCAATTGGCGACCGGATGGCGTAGTGGTTTGTAAACGGACTGCTATTCCAAAGGTCGCGGGTTCGATTCCCGCTCAAGTCAAACATTTGTGTGCATGAACATTTAATGTTTGTTAAAAAAAGTATATATGTATTTGTATCAGCATTCTAGTAGCCATAGTACAAGCTCTGCTTAGTTTGGGACTAGATGGTGATGTGTGAATGTGGTAGAATATTATTACAAAAAACAAAAAAAAAATCAGTTCAACTTTCGATCTCACAACTGTCATAAAAGGTATTTTCGTAGTAAAGTATTAAACATTCAACATTGACTGTAATGTGAATAAATCGTCTTGTAACTGAAAATCGAATCGGTAATCTGCCAGTTTTTATAATACTTTGCTATTTTTTTATCTACCTTTTTCTAATTTGAGAAATATTACATTTCCAAGATAAATTGGCAAAGGAAAAAGTCCGGCCATAAAAGCCGTAGTCAAAAATCTGCATTATCATCTTGTTTCATTTTCTAGACGAAAGGTAGCATGTATTTTTCAGTGCCACTGGCAGATACATAAAAACTTAATGAGTATACTATCGATTGGGTTATTTAGATGTGAATGACAAAAAACCGGTCCGGTACGAGTCGAACTCGTGCGCCGAGGGTTTCGTACCTACCCAGATTTTACGTAGATTTTCGCGAAAATTTGTAAGTACCAACATTTATCTTAATTTTCAACTTTTTTATTTTTTGGAATTATTCCTTTACTTCTGCCAAATTTCGTGATTCTAGGTCAACGGGAACTACCCTATAGGTTTACTTCCGGTTGACCTAGAATTGTCAATTTTGTACAAGTAAAGAGAAAATTCTGAAAAATGAAAAAAGTTTAAATTACGGTAAATTTTGGTACTTAAGTTGTCGCGAAAATCGAAATTTGCCCATATCTTTCTATCGTGTTGACTTGATTTTTATATCGGGACCTTGATTTTTATACACCTATTAGGGACCATAGACCTCAGTCTCTGGTATAAATTTCAACTTGCTAGGCCTACCCGTTCCTGACAAATCGGTGGTGACACACGGACAGACGGACAAGAAAGTGATCTTATAAGGGTTCCGTATTTTAACTTTTGAGGTACAGAACCCTAAAAAACAAACAAACAAATTCACATTCTCATTTGTAATATTAGATATATTATAAGCTATAGATTCAAATTCGAAATATATCTGAAACTGCTAACACCACAGAACAATAAAAACAAGAAATTAGCAGAAAGTCCACAAAATAATTGGACATTTGTAACGCAAGATACAAGTGCGTCGATGTTCTTGATTGCTCTTTCCCGGAGTGAGGGGTGGGAGGGGTCCACTGGCAAAAAATCTTCGGTTAGCTACAACAAAATATACAAGCTGCAATATTAAACTTCTGTCATATAGAGATTATTCTGCTATCGTCCCACCAACTGCGGCTTGTTCTTTCTTCTCGAAGATCTTCACGTTCGTCACATCAGGCCTGGAGAAGTCAGGGTACTTGTACTCCATCAATCTGTACATGCAATAAAATATACTAGAGTAGTATAGTAGACCTTTTAAAGAAAGTAGTATAATTTTGAGAACATTGGTGGCTATGAAATCTTCTTGCAAGAATGGAGAAGAAAATAAAAGAAAGAAAAGAAAATAGGAATCTTGAAAGTAAGAAATTGATCAAGCTAATGTTTCGTTTGAGGCAGGGCTGGCATGAATGAAACTTTTGAGTATTTCATATCAAGAAACTTTTAGTTTAGAATAGTAATCTTTCACTAGAAGCCACACTATTTAAAGGTAGCTACTTTTTAATACGTAATAGTGTTAATTGCTATATATATACATAATTATTTGCGTTTCTAATGGATTTTAGAATAAATCCGCCACACGATAAGTTCTAATTAATTTCTTATTGTAACTATTAATTCAAAACTTAAATATATAGCACTTGTACCGGACAGATGGACTGCTTATCACCTAATGTCCTAGCTTGATGATAAAAGCTTTCAACCTTGCTCAAGCATTGAGATATCAAAGGAAAATGCCTATTACAGTATGAAAATCGGTTTCACACTTTTTTCCTGTGTCAAATATGTTTAAACTGTATTATTAAGCTTGCATTTACAATTATCTGAAATATAAACGTATATTGTAACAGAACGAGAACATATATTGTAATTATTGAGAATAAATGTAAAAATATTAACAACCAGAAAAATATTCATTATAGCTTTTTTTATAATGTTTATGGCATCGTGTTTTGACAGGGATATCATGTATAAATTAGGGCAAAACTAACACTGAATTATACATTTACTAAATAAACTACGACCACATGCACTAGACTACACTCAAGTAATAAGATCATCAAACTGTAATATATGTTTCGACCTTCAAACCTTGTTGAGTTGCAAGCGCTCATGGGCGACGGTAGTCGCTTTCCATCAGGTGACCCGTCTGCTCGTTTGCCCCCTTTCCATAAAAAAAAGGTATGTGTTATTACGTATTATTATCAAGTAAATTATTTTTTAACGCATTTATTTTGAAACGACGTTTCTTTGCATTCAACCATTATTGGTTTATTTTATATAATAGCAACATTTAACTTAAAATGAAAACGGTCATTGATTCAAGTTTTAGTCCTTGTAAGATTGCTTTTAAACCCTAAGTACTATAAAAGAGATTCAGGGTTTAAAAATCACATTAAAAGCAATATTTTTTAAACATTTCAAATAATGACATCAACAAAAAAAACAATTATTTGCCTTTGTTATAAATATTAACGTAAAGACTTACTTCTCCAGAGGTGGGCAAAGATAGTGGCGTATGTTTCTAGGCATAATCACGTCGGCCTGGAGTGTTCTCACTTCCTTAATATACTCTTTGAAATCCATGACAATATCAAGGTCCACTTGGGGACCGATGCCGGGCACAGCATATACTATAGTTATCTACAACATACATCATAAATTGTGAAACATGAGTTGTGCAACTCACACGCACCGGACTTGCGATCGATTGATCGCGTGTTCGAACCACCAACCCATTAAGCTTAGTTTCAGAGGTTTAAAGAATACTACTGTTCTGAGGCTTGTATTGGAAGAGGTCGCGAAGACGTTTCGGAATATCAAAAAGATCCTCTATCTAGGCTAAAAACAGACCCAATAATCGATCGCTTCATCATCGCAGAGGACCTCAGTAATTGTGTGTCCACATCTAGGATACCGTACCGTACCAAAAACATACTCTCATGTACGAAGATTGAGAAAAAACTGAACCCCCTTGTCCATTCCTTCTTTCAATCTTTTCTCAGATTGCTCTTGCGAAATATAAGGTACCGACTACCCATCCCCACCCGTCATGCGACAGTACTGACAGAGAACCCAGTGAAAAGTCCTAGTCCCACAGTGTATCCTGGGATCTTGGAGAAATGCAGCTATAGAGGCATGCTTTCCCACTCATATTTAGCACACACACGATAAAATCTATACAGACCTCTGGTATGGGTGATTCCTCTTCCTCAACTTCCTCCACTTCCGGCACGATGATATCCATGTTGTCGTCTATGAATTTCTCCAATAGATCACGTATCATCTCTACTTCTTCTGGTTTAGCCTGTTAGAATTAAATATTCCAGAACTTAATTGTCTCTGCTGTAATGTGTCTCTTCACGAATGACTGGGGCTTATAAAAGTAATTAAAGCAACTCGGGAACTTCTTATAAACACCCTGTAAACTTACAATAAACAAAATAATATCTAATATAATATTAAAATGACTTCTCTGCAGTTTCATCAGGATTTATGATCACTGGAGCGCTCAGAGGAGCCACTCGTCTGCTAGTGTCTGAGGTGTCTGAGATTTTAACATTATACTAAAAAAACTCCTCAGTTTTATTATATTCGTATTTATATAGATTATCTAATTTGTTAAGTTTTATTGGATGTGGGAGGACTCCTGCTAATTCTGGGGAGGGGGGCCACCACGCACTTGTGACGCTTGAGTTGACGGTCTCCATGAACGATGGTAATCACTTACCATCAGGTGACCCAACTGCTCCTTTGCCCCTATTCCAGCTTTTTTGAGATGTTTCAATATTTAAAAACAGAACAGAACCAGAAATACACACGAGTTTATCCAATACCATTTATCCTCAACTAGCTACGCCCCGCGGTGTTTTCTGCATATTTCAATTCCTTGCTCATTAAGCGGGCACATCACACTTTTTCGGGATAAACATATGTTAATCGAGGCTGTCAGCTACTTCCATACCAAATTTTATCAAAATTGTTTTAGCCCTTTGATCGTGAAAAAGTAACAAACATAAACATACACAAACTGTCATATCTTTAATCATCATCAGCAACAGCCTTAGAAAAGAGGTTTTGGCCTACTATACCACGCTGGTCAAACGAGTTGTAATAGGGTTTGTCTCAAATTTTCCTTCTCTTTGCAGTGCTATTCAGTTGTCCTGCAGAGTTTGCTCCATCATTCGCCTCTTGCTGCACCCACGGGATGAATAGGAGTCGTGACACTCCGTATTCATCCACACGAACACAACTAAATAATGTTCACTTAAATATGTTTAGTTACCTTCTTTTTCTTCAAATCAGGATCTGGCAGTATGGCAATCTGCTCGTCTATATACGCCAGAATTTCTTGCTCAATATGTTGCACGATGAATTCTCCACTGGTGGTAGACATTTGACGGCCAGCCACCATTCCTGGAGCAAAAGAGAAAGGATTAATTAGATGTTCATATTATTCTGTCTTTAAAAATGTTCATCTTCTCTTTCTTCTAACGTTGCATGTATTGTATGTTGAATTTCTATTAGTGGTAATCGATTCTGCTGGATAAGCTCCGCAGAGTATACAAGGATAAAGTCGATAACTATGCTAAAATTATTTTATTTTATCCTTTAAGAATAAATGTTGCCAACATGGTATTTTCCCCAAATTTACGAAAAATAAAAACGTCTTCTGGCATTAAGGGATATAAAATGTTTCATTCTAGTTTGAAAGTTTATTTAACGGTTTACAGAGTTTTCATATTTTTATAATTAACCTAAAAGGCCGTCATTACTCATCTTTACTTACCTAGTATTTATAATTTTTTAAGAGCTTGCAACACTGTAATAATCAAAATCTAACCTAGATCATAGTTCGCTGATTTGAATCTATCCACAAGAATTTTGATTTCATCCAGAGTTTGCTCGAAATCTTCTAAGCGATCTTTTTTCGCTTGTTTCACCTGGAGGAAATGACAGGAGATAAGGATTAGGGTTAATATACAGGATGGGACAGTGACAGTTCGGAATGGGTGCAGGATTTTATACAGTACAAAAAGGTTTAGTCAAATGTTAAAAGAGTTGTATAGTATGTATTTCATTTAGTTTAATTGAATTTTTAGTTTGCCAGAGAAAATACTTTTACTACAGGAAGAGCCATCATCGCCATGATACCACAGCATCACAGAAACAGTTGTTGAGCAATTCTTTCGTTGCTTTCACCGATTAAGTGGGGGTGATCACTTACCACTCGTTCCCTCGTCCCTTCAGCTAGTTTGCTCAATTATTTATGTGTTAGGGGAAGGCCCACGGAATATGTGAGTGGATCAGCCCAACAATACACCTAATCCAATTCTTTTTTAAATGAATAACAGTTCAAAATTACTTCAGCAATAAATTTCGCTACTTTCTGCCATTCAGGCTCTTCTTCTTCCACAACCTGTTCTTCTTCATGCTCTTCTGCTACGTCGGGCTCTATTGTTGGCTCTACTGCTGGCGCCTCTGTTTGTTCTTCTTTAATTTCTTCAACAGGTTCACCTAATTTTCGTAAAGGATGAGGGTGAAAGTTGGGATAAAATGCTGTTTATTATTGAAATCTAAATTAACGAAAATATGGGGAAGAAAGTATTGTGTATGAAAATTTACGAATACATGAGTAGACGACGACCGAAGAAAAGATGGATGAACTATATAAAAGAGGATACGAGGATAAGAGAGTAAGTAGTGAACTGACGATTAAAAAGGGTATAGAAAAATATCCCTATCCCAAATAAATTTAAAAAAAATGCAACAAATATAGATATAAATGCAATTATACTTTGCAATATAAATGCAAAGTATAAATGCATTCTAAAATCTAAAGAATTGAAGTTTTTATTTGTTTATGATGAGGACTTAATTTGGGAATAGGGTTGGGACGTTAGAGTCACTGACATACGGAAGTTTGCGTATAAGCGGACTTAAAAGTAACTTCAAGGGACGGCCTAAGTAGAACAGCAGCTGTCACCGTAGTCTAACGCCGCTTACAATTCAATAGGCGCCTTGATGAACCATTAAAAATCTATATAATATGTACTGTACTACAATACTACTTCAGAATAAAATTACACAAATATTTTTTTGTTAAGAGTACGATAAAACATGAAATAACTTACAAATAAGAGTGAATACACAACCACAGAAACCTTTTATAGGTTAACACTACTATTTAATACAAATATTCGCATTTTCTATTTTAACATTACAAATTGTATCAGTATGAACTAAATTACTATACAATTCACTAATAACATCATCTAACTAATAAAATTGATCTACATACATGTATACAAGAATAATCATTTGACCGAATACCGTAAAACGAATATTCGGCGAGGCTGTACGCCGAAGCGCCGAATATTCGCCGAAGTTCAAACCCACATCACTAAAGCACTTGTGATGAGGACGCCGACGCCGCGCCGTGGGCGCCGTGTGTTGGTATCGTGCCACAACACAGCTTATTTGTTGATTCTTAGTATTACTTTTAATATAAATATCTTAAGAAAAATCACCTTTTGTTCGAGGAAAACTTTAAGAAATGACACCATTGAATAAAACCTTCACTTATTTCTTAATATTAATCAATTTGATGACATTGACATAATTGACATGTTTTGCTTTCGGCCGAATATTCAGCCGAATACCGAATAGTTGCCGAATATTCGTGACATCTTTAGTTTAGTGTTGGCTGTTCTCATTTAATATACAACTACATACTAATCAATTATTCTAATAAAATACTTAATATTTAATACTTAAGAACAGAATAAAATATATAAGCAAGAGCAAGAGCACCGTAAATTGTAAACTCGATTTCATTTTCTTCTTCATCATAAACGCGAATATCCACTGGTTTATCTTCGTCTTCTTCTTTCACTTCTAGCAAGTAAACGTTAAGAATATATTACTTCTAAAAGTGGCAAACGCGCAGATGGGTCACTTGATAGAAAGTGACCACCACCGCCTATGAATGGGTGCAACTTAGTAGTCACAAGTTCGACTTATAAAAATATCTGACAAGATTTACTTGCAAGAATAAAACATCATTTCATTTCATTTCAATATCATTTATTTTCATTTGATTTCATTTCGAGCGCGACGGATTAAGAATACGGAGTGTCACCACCCCTATTCATCCCGTGGGTGTCGTAAGAGCCAACTAGGGAGCAAACTACACAGGACAATAGCACTTCAAAGAGAAGGAAAACTTGAAACAAACCCTATACCAACCCGTCTGGCCAGCGTGGTATAGTAGGCCAAAACCTCCTTTCTAAGGAGAAACCTAAGTACAGCAGTAAACTGGTAAAGGCTGTTGATGATTGATGATAGAAGCGAATAGGGAAATATATTTAGATAAGAGAAATAAAACAAAACGATTATTAAACACGTTGTTTGAAAATTTTTACTATAAAACTTTTTGCTTGTTTCCTTTTTAAGTATTTACAATTACTGAAACAATTTTGTTCTGTTTTTTTTTTGTTATAGAAGGTGAAAAGAGCACAGCATTATCATCAAAAGTATCATCAACTACTACTACTATCGTCTGTCTTTGTCTACAGGAGAGTTTCCCCAAACAACCTGTATAAAAATATATACACAGTGATAAAATTTCTTTTTTTATTGTTTAACAGACACCATCTATGATCTGTGACCACCCGCTATCAAATTATTTAAATCCTTGTGAGAAGACAGGATAAAATCTTACGACCGAGTGGTTCTGTTTTGAATCACCAGTTATAACAAAATTAACAATAATAAAGCACTGTGTCATTGTACAAATATGATGATTCTTCTTATAACTTACCTTCATCGACGCCCCCCTCCAACCTTTCCATTTGCATAACGCTTATTTTCTTCAGCTTCCTCTGAAAGTGGTATTTTAATCATGCTGTTAATCGAATCGATATATTAATCGACAAAATACTATCATTCACATTACTGGGTCGTGGAGCCTGCGGGACCGGGACGCGGCTCCGAATTCCCCAATAGATACAATAATTATAATTTTTGAGTGTCAAATCGGGACGACTAATAAATAAATAAATTTTTGTCTTGGGTTATATGAAGTTATAGATATAAAACTATTTTTATGAAATTTTCAAATATTTCTATATTCTTTTCAAAAACGGCAGCCTTCTGTTACAATTTAACCTAAAAAAACAACAAAATCACTCATTACGAAATATAATAACTATAATCTTGAGTATTTATAGATTAATTTAAAAATGTTTAAATAGAAAACATTACTGCTTAATACAGGAGTCTACCATTTTTTAAATAAAAGAAATAATAGGTCAGACGTAAAGACCTTTTTTTTCCGTGCGGAAATCCCCTCGGATAACACATGTCGGTGCATGCGGTTTTAGTCGAACCGACTAAAACCGCACGCCGTCTCGGGTACTAATAGTCGGGGAACCAGGTATACCCTAGAAAGTAAGTCCCTGGTGTCATAGGTAAAGACCTAATATTATATCGTTTCACAAAACTAGTGTTATACATGGCATTTCAATATTTTTTTGTTCCCCGGACCTTTTCAAGACAAATTGTTCTTTTTTTATTAGTGGTCCCAATATACCCCTCAAAAATAATTATTGTATTTACTATATAGGGGAATTCTCGACCACGGTACCGGACCCGACGGCCCCACTACCACATTACTTAACAGCATAGCTACGTAAACGACCTATCACCATTATAATAAAAAGCTACCTAAAGAAACTGTGGCCTCCTTGGCTTTTCCCAAACTAGTTTGGGTCGGCTTTCAGTCAACTAACACACGGCTGAACTTTGATTCTTTACGTGGACTAATTACCATCAGAGGCCCAAGTGTGAGGTTATTTCACAGATACTCGATCATGACGGTAACCGCGTTAGGCCTTGCGTTTGATGAACAGTTTAGTTCGAACCAATCGCAACACCGAACGCGGTCACTATGACGATGGAGTAGAAGTGAAATGAACTCCCACTAAACCCTCAGACCTCCACGACCATATTACTAGGCGATATCGAGGTTCTGACTAGACTAGACTTCTTAAAACACGTAACGATTGCCACAGATGATCGTATGGCAAACGGGACCAATGGCTTAACGAGCGAGTCACGGGGGGGGCAAATATCTAAAGAATGGTCACCCATCCATGGACTGACCTGGCTAGGATTGCTTAAACTTTTGCAATGTGCTAACTTACTCGGTTACCACTTAGCCACTAGCCATATTAATAAATATTTTGCTTTAAAGTGTCACCGATTTCAATTTTTCACCGTTAGTTAGGGTATTTTTTCTATAAAGAATCTTAGTTATTGTATATAGTTGGTCCTACCAACTAAAGAAAAAAGTCAAAGGTAGGTAAGGGATGTTGCTCATAGGGATGTATTGGGGATAACTGCAGCAGGTCAGGGTCGTATACTAATAACTTGGATTTCTGGAGAGAGCAAGCCTAAAATCCACAATCTTAAAATTGTCCCACAGTAACGACATATACAGGGCTTTTTCTACATAACACAAACTACATAAAGTAAATAAAATCAACTAACTTCCACTTCATCACTTGGCGGAGCTCTTCCTGGAAGAAACCATGAGGATTTTATGTCAGACAAGCCATTTTGAGAACTACTTAAATCATAATTATTAAACAATCCTACAACAGGTGGCTGATTTTTGTGTCCGTGGTGCTTCCCTTACCCTTAATATGCATATATGGGTCGCTATCGCTTTACTAAGGATGGAAGTGGATTTATTAAATTTCCAACTCCTGCAATTCACATCTGATTAATTTCGTTGTGGGTTCACAAAAATTGCAGCCTTTTTTTGGAGGAGCCAGAATTGCCTACTTCTTAAAAAAATGTTCGGTTAGAAAGAAATTTAAATTACCACTTAAAAATACCTGAAAATTACTATTTAGTATTTACAAGCACCGTAAATACTAAATAGTACATTACCGTTTTACACCACAGTTACTAACTATAATGAAATCGTGAAAAATTCAAGAACTACATGATTTTTTTTAGAGATCAACGCTTAACAAAACGATATAACCTTTTCTGTCTCTTATATAAGTTTCTCTCTCTATCTGCTTCGCTCTCTCCACAGAAGGAGATCTCTCAAGATGGCCGATAAGAGGCTGAGTGGTCTTCTTACTGACGTTGGTACTGGTACCAATTTTGCCGTCTATTAATGACACGTGTTTAAAATGAGCTGATTCATCTTGCCAGAAACCTTCGTCTGATGACTGAGACTGTTGGAGGAATGGAAAACAGGTGAATTAGGATACGGGATACTGATTACTCCCAATAGTTATGGATACCAGACTTGCTTCAAGTTAAGACATTTTTTTTCCGATAGATGTAACAAGGCGTAACAGCAAAATCGGAAAGTTAACCACGTCAAAACCCTAAACACGGCACGATTTAGAGTCATTTTGGAAACGCTCTGGAAACAAAGCAGAAATGGTTTCAATCTGTTACCATGCTCATTCCAGAGCGTTACCTGAGTGTGTTTGTTACATTTGCCCATCGCGTTTCCAGACTTTAATCAAAGTGGATACATCCTGATACCAAAATGTATACAAAGTGGATATACATCCACTTTGAAGCCATGGTCAATAGATTTTGAAAACAGAGTGTTTCTAGAGTGATTACATATTGAAACCATATTTTATTCATAGTGAATACATACTGAAACCAGAGTAAAACTATAGTGAATTCATGTTGACATTCTGGAACCAACATGATTACAAAAAGTTTCCATACTGTTTACATAGTGTTTACAGAATGAATTTAAGATCGCGAGGGTTGTCAAATCATTTAATTTTAAAATTGATATGCAGATATCAAAATATTCGGGGCAGTCGATGGCCTATATTGGCCGGGTGGGGAAGGCCTCCATTGCTCTTTCTTGAGAAAGGGTGCGAGCTTTGTCGCAGTGGAGTGGGGAGTAACAGTTGTGGTAAGCTCTTACTTCTCTCCCAATCGCGGCCTAGCCGAGTATAAGGCATACCTGCACGGGTTGGCGATCTGCATCCGCAGACCTGCATACGCTTCCCGTCTGGTATTCGTCCTGGGTGACTTTAACGCACACGCAAGAGAGTGGGGAGTCATCCCGGGTGTCGCCCTGTCCTGGAGTGGGGGTTGGATCCAGTCCAGATGAATTAGAAATCGGAGGTCCACTCAGATTTCTAAATCAGGGTTCAGTCAGCACCTGTGTGCGATGGCAGGGAGAGTCGATTGTCGACTTGTCGTAGGCCACTCTAGGCTAGGCTAGGCGTAGGATACTTGGCAAGCTTAAATCATGGGTCCCTCCGTTGACAGAAACCCCAGACCCGAAGTTTCTGGATAGAGTGGTAGACACGCTCTTTCCAATGGTCTAGGATAGTCCCTCGATTCCTCCGTCACAATCGGACAGGCAACTCTGGTCCGACGAGTATGAGGTGTGTCGTGATTTAGGCATGAGGCTGATGTGGCCAGGGAGACAAATGACACTCTGGTGCGGCCAGAGGGGTGTCGTCTAGGGCGGGGCGCTGTTGCACCTCTTATTGTGTAGAGCAGTTAGGCCTCAATCGTGGGGTACGGCAGGGAGGACTCCAGAAGCCACTGATGCGTTCATGGAACTTCACCCGACTGTGTAGAAATCGAAAATGAATCGAGAGTAGATCGGCACTGAATTTTGAAGGATTTTTTATTAAAAGAATTGACCTACAGATGTATTTTATAATCTAATGTATATAATCAGGAATAGCATGTGTCGTCGATTAGTGATCATTGAATCCTTGCCTCTGCCGGCATTCATTCCTAGGCTAATCTTTAGATCTGTCAATATTAACTAACCAAGAAAAAAGAAAAGAAAATTGGTTGATACAAAGAGGAGAAGATACTAATCTGCTTGACCATGCCTATTTACAATACCAATAATAAAATACGTACAGTCTGATCACCCTGGTCTTCTGACTCTACAGATTGATCTTCCTCGGTATTTTCCTCAACGGGAAATTGTCCTAAAACAGAGTATTACCATTTAACCGTAGGAGAGCCTTGTTCGGCACTAATGGCTCTGTTACCTTAAGGTTAAGATTAAATTAAGGTCGAGAACCTTAATTTAACCTTGACCTTAAAGTACCAGGGCGTCACAGAAAAACCGATGTAAAGAAATACTTACGTTAGTTTTTACCGAGTGAGTAACCTCACTCGTTAAAAACTAACTAGGAAAAACTAACTAATAAAGTTCCAACTAGGGATGAAATTATAATCACAATCAAATGCGATAAATCATATGATTTATAAATCATATAATCTCACCTGTGAATATAGCGCGATAATCTTGCGAAAATCTATGATCAAAAAATTTGACTGTTTTTGATGGCATTTATTTTTTTCTAAGACCAAATCACAATCACAGGTGAAATGGCAGAGTTAAAAAAAAACGAGTGTTCCTTAGACCACACGACTGAAGATAAAACTTCTTGGCTATGAAAGAAAGAGAGAGAATGAAAATGTGTGCTTGCACCTCTCTTTCTTGCTTCTACAGTAATATCCGAAACTTAACTCTCTCTCTCTCTCTATCTTTACTAACTTATATCTCCATCTCAACTTCCGTTCGCCTCGCCAGATCACGCTTTTCGTAACGCTCTTGTCACGCATTCACCAGCTTACTCCCCAAGTTAAGTGTGCGGAAAGAAGTTTTACTTCCGAACCAATAATTTCATCATATGATTATGATTTAAAAGTAGCAATAATTTCTTTGTCTGTCAATCAGGTGACCTGTCTGTTAGTTTACCCTATACATGTGTGTTGTGAGTTCGATCCCCACATGGGACGACACTTTGTGTTATCCACAAATTGTTTATCTGAGTCTGGGTGTCGGTTGTGTCCGTTTCATCTATGTTTGTAAGGTCCCCCGCGACATAGGATATATTCCTAATACGGGCAGTGTCATTAAAAATAAAAAACTAAACAATAAAAAACATGACAAAAACATTACATATATATCATAAAAAAATACTGGCGCTACATTCAGACATCCTCAGCTAGTCCATCCATGCCATGTCAAAATTCGGTTTCCAGCTTTATAACTTTTAATAATTGTCTTGTATTTAGATACGTATACAGACAAACAAGCAGACTGGATCACCTAATGGTAAGTGACCCGCCACCCATGGACACCTGCAACTAAAAATTCTGTCTCCCCCCCCTAGGATCTTCACCTCCTCACCTAACCTCATTCACTCGGTAAAAAGCAATTTCTTTTAAAATACCACAATATAGTTTAGTACAGTTTATTAAGTACATATTTATAAATAAATATTACCTTCTCTGTAACCGTTGTAGTACTTGATATCGCGGCTTGCGTCCATGTCAGCCAAGAAACTGTACATCGTCAGAAAATCCTTGTAAGGTATGGCTGCTGAACCACCGTCAGGTTCCTTGGTGAGAGATTCGCACAGGAGAATCATCGTGTGGGTTAGACACTGTAAACAAATTCTTAAATAACGCAAATGCTATAATGGGAATTAAAATATAGCGCGATTTAGTTTAACGCTATCTGTCTAAGCAGTTCGTAAACTCTGAGATAAAAAAAAAAAATAGTTTTTTTTTATGACTTTTAATTAATTTGACAAACTTACATTAAGAATGTTGTCATAAAGCTTTGGAGCAGTTTGCGTATTTACAAAAGTCGCAAAATTGAAATATTTAGAAATGTATAATAGAGACCAGTATTTATGTAAGTTTTTGGAATTTTGTATCACATTCCTGTAAAATATCATACAAAGGAATCAGAAATATTGATCAAGAGAATCAATATTCGTATTGATTTGACGCAGTTTTGCAAATTTCTCTTACGCGTATTTTTATTTTTTATTTTATTTAAAACTTAATGCACATATTGTACAAAGGCGGACTTAATACCATGAGGCATTCCCTCCCAGTCGACCTTCAGGTGATGTAGAAATATGATGAGGTAGGTGCAAAGATAATTTGTTAAATTTATGGTAGTTCATAATAGTTTGGTAAATGAGAGATAAACCTACATTAGATATAACTAATATACATAAATACATTGCTATATATATTGTTTGCAGTCTGACCGGCGATATATCAAATACAAGGACATTTATTGCAAAAACTGTGTCACCATTACCCAACATTAGTCAACAGTTATAAATAAAAATGAAAGATTAGAATAAATTTAACAAGCATGCAAATTATTTTGTGAGAAATACTCTTGTAAATTATAGAATACATTTTACGAAAAACAAAAACAGAAACTGTTAACTACGTTAATACACGTACGCCTGTGACAGGCAGGTAGTCAGAGATATTTTAAACAAACACTCACATTTTTAACACTAATTCGGTCAAACTCAATTCTACTCGAGAATAATAGGTAAAAACTCAAGGTTGTAAAAATGATGCAGGATTGAAATATTCATTTTTTATCGTAGATGACACATAGACCCAGACGTATGGAGCCCTCGACCGACCCCTCTCTTAGCAGTCAGTATCGTGAACCACTAGACGACCAGGCCTGTTAAAAATATTGAACACAACACACCTTGGTGAGTGTACCTCCAGCCACAGCTATGAAATGCAGGAAAGGGACAGTGTCAGCCCGTTTGTATACTTCGCACAGACAGAATATCCTCTTCAACTCGTTAGGGTCCAGACAGAATCCCTGCCAGGCTCTTTTCAACACTGATAGTGGAAGAGTTGGAAAAGTGTTTAACTGCAAAAAGATAGCAAATTTTTATTACAGTTGGCAAATGGTCACCAGAAGCCAAATTCTCGTAACAAAAATTTTTACTCTACTACAAATGCTTTTTATGACAGTTGTGAGATCGAGAGTTGTTCGGAACTGAATTTTGACCGAACTTTTGTTACGAGAATTTGCCTCCAAGGTTTTGCAAGGAGCGCCAACTATCCCGGTCTTGGACAGTTCTTATCCATCTACTAGCAGCCACTTTCCGTCGTCGGTCCATCGTGCCGCACTACGTTTGCCTTGCCGCGGTCTCTACTCTAACACACGTCGGTTCCAGCTACCATCAGTCCGTCTGTACTTCTTCCTCCGGGCCTTTTCCCCAAACTAGGTCAGGGTCGGCTTTAAGTCTTCTACGATAGCGACTGCCCACAGACCTCTACAAGCCAACTAGGCGAAGTCGAAAATCTGTAGAAAAACTTTTCGGACCCGTACCCGTAACAATTGCCATCGATGTTCATGAGGCAACCGGTATGGACGGCTTAACGTGCTCTCCGAAGCACGGAGGGGTCTCAATTTGAAACTTTCAAGTTAAGAATGGTCACCCATCCATAAACTGACCTGGCTGCTGGAGAACTGCTTAACTTTGCAATGCGTAAACCTACTTGGTTACCACCTAGCCCTATCTGCCTGTGCTTATGACTCTCAAATTACAGATGTCATGTCATGGGCAACCTTTTTTATTACTTACAACAGGTGAGCCTTTGTTCTTTGCCACCTAAATCAATAAAAATAACATACCTGTTGAGCAAGCACCTTCAGACACCCTCGCGTCAGCCCACCCTCCGAGCTATATATTGGATACTCCAGCCTCAACTTTACAGGGGGTGGTCTATGCTCTGCAAGAGCCAGGAAGTACTCGAAAGACCAGCGCAGTAAGTCGTATGGTTGGGTTTTGATAGCAGCTGGAAATAGAAAGAGTATTTATTGGCACCATCTACTTCCTAGTTCATCTGGTTACGGGAAGAGGGGAGTTGGTCTTTCATTCTAATAGATATATTAAGTCAACTGCTGCACCTATGCTTCACCTAATGCACCACGGCACCAGATTCTCCACCTTCCGCATTCAGTCTATTTCAAGCCGTCTATAAGGGCCTAAACTGTGTCCTTAAAATAACTTTAGAATGTGTGACGTTACCTTTACAGTACCTCTTGAGGACGTAAGGAAACTTGGGTGGAATTACGATCTGCTGGGAGCAGTACATCTGCTCCACCAACTCCGGCATATTGGCTTTCTTTTATCCTGTAATAAAATTAAAGACAAATTTGACCCGTAACGACCTTGAAACCCATAAGAACAACTAGTATGGTAGGTATTTAACGCAGTAGCTTTTAGTAAATGATCAGCACTTATCCAGGAAACTTGTATGTTATTAAAAGATATTTGTGTAATACATGCGAACAGGCCCCTTTTTCCCACTGGGCACTCTGGGCATGTGACCAGGGCCCCTCGATGGACCGGGGCCCCTAATTCCTGCCAGATCCTCAATCGATAATCGATATTTAGTACCGAAAAATCTGCGATAATGAGTAACGAACCAAAACACTTTTTATTTAAACAAAATCCTCTGCCTAGGGCTTCAAATAGGCTTTAGACGGGCCTTCTGGCGAAGTCTGTTTAGGTTATTATGTTTATTTATTAGCAGTTTTCAAGGTGAGATTTGAGCCCTTTTAATAAGTACTGCAAGGCGTAAAGTTTAAGCAACATATTGCTCTAAGGATTTTAGCAGGCGCAACATATATTTCTGAAAATCCATTAATACCCCATGGTGAATATTACTTATTAAACTAATAATAATTAAACTGAGTCATTTTCTGTGTGTTTTAATTTAAAAAAATGTATTTAATTGTGTTAACTTGTTTTACGATTATATTGATAAGAAGTTGCATGAAATGGATACTAGAGTCGATGGAGTTCTCACAAATCTATCCAAATTACAAATTAAGCATTACGAAAAGCGCGAATCGATGATGGCTGGAAGATTTGGTAGCACGGTAGTGCCACCGCCAAGAAGGAGCACCCCAAACAAAGGAAACTAAGGGCACTACCTAACAACTGTTTCTCGAAGCGTTTCGTCGTCTTTTTGAACTTTCATAGTGAATTTATTAAATATATAAAGTTTCAATAGCATGGCTATTATATTTTAGAATTTATTGATATCTAACAAACCCCGATTTCGTCACTGACTCTCTGATGATCATCAAAACTCATAGGTTACTTCCTGAAGTCCTATAAAGCTGAAATTTGGTATGTAAGCTAGTATTAGGACACAAACAACAAAAAAAAATATGTTACTAGGAACTTTTTGCCCAAAGCCCCCTTAAACTAGGGGATGGAACTTTGTATGTGACAGATTCTGAACATTGATATAATAGAGACAACTTGTTATAAATAATAAATATATATTTCAGTATTTTTAGTGAATCACTCCCCATCCGTATTAGCGCACAAAACCCCTAATGTGTACCCACGCGGCGCGGCGCGTGCTGCGGTCCGAACAGATTCAGATAATGACTAAGTAGCGCCCTGATCTGTCAATTATTGAGACGACTGACTTACAATCTACCTTATAATTTATTATAAGTGAATGCTGCGTCGCCATGCATAAGCCACACCCCAGTGCTGACGTTGCAGCACTCAAATTTCTATACGAATTTTAGCGACTCGAGCCACAGATCTCTTAAGACTACCCAATTGCGTTCGAACTTGATCCACTCGCACTCTACAGTCTTTACCGGGAGAAACCTCTTCTATAATACCTCGCGGCCAAATGTTACGGGTAGCATTAGGGTCAGCGATGAACACTAAGTCACCAACCTGAAGAGGTCTCTGACTATCTTGGGTCCACTTTTGGCGTGGTATCATTTCTGGTAGCACTTCGGTAACCCACCTCCTCCAAAACATATCGGCTAACCTAGCTATACGCCATTGTTGACGCAAGATAACGATAACTTTTTGATAGTATGAGCCATATACTTTAGTCGTGGCTACATTTTACATGCAAATGCTATTGATTTGATATGTTTTTACATAATTTAAAAACAATGACGTAGATGATGATGTAGTAAACTCTTGAAGCCCAGGAGACTGATAACGGCAACAACATAACATAATAGGTACAACAGTTTAAATGCGTTCTTTTTTATACTGCTCAAGATATAAACAGAAAGGCCGCTTGACGGACACTGTTAACCACAGGAAATGAACATTTACAACAGGAGTGACACTGTCCCGGATGTGTTCGTAACTCTTTTTTATTTTATTAAATCTTCGGATTACCATCTCGATGTAACTAAACCTTATGGTACCTCAATGCCGTATTGTATCTAAAGTCGATCAATAGTGTGTATTTTATTATATTCCCATAAAGGCTTAACAGGATCAAGTAACAATTTACATAATTAATAGTATTAATACTTACCAATAATATTAACAATTTCCCATTAATAATGAGATGCTCCAACACTCCAACAAAATAGTTGATTGACGCATGTTTTCACAAAACGTTTCTATAGCAACCAATAGAATGACATACCGATTTTTTTGCTTTTCTTGTGTATTTAGGTTTTAGATATACTACTCAGATTGACTGGCCGTTTATTATAATGATGCTTACTTTAATGTATGACAGCGGGAGTTCGATGTAGCAGATAAATCTTGGAAGTAGAATAAAATGCTGTTGATTTGAGATGATTAAGAAGTTAGACAAGTTGACAGAACATGAACGTTTGGTGGCAAAGTGGCTTGAAAGAGAATCTAGTGACGAAAATTCAAAAGGGTGCCCTTTTTCTTCTTTGCGGTTCTGTCCCTGGAAATCCCTGGTATCCCGACATACCCCGGCCCATCTACGGCATGTAGATGACCCCCTCGTGTGTGGAAACCATGGTGTTCCCGTTCTACCAACTTAAGATTGCCGGGTTGGCGGCGGGACGCCTGCCTGCTCCTGCCAGGGTGACAGACGGCCTTACCTTTCACCCCCAGGCCTGCCCTTATGGAGCACGGAGGTCGTTCTGCGCACAAACATTAACGCACGTTTATCACGCGAACTAAAAGGGCGGCAACGTGTTTGTGACTCTTGAGTTGCAATAAATCACAATCACATGTGATAACTTATATAATTAATAAATTATATTGTCACACCTGTGACTGATTCGTATATGGTGATGGCGTAATATTTGATAAAAAGAGTTTTGATTGATTTTAATGCCATTTATCTTCAATCACAATCACATGTGAAATTGCTGTGAATAAAAAGAAAAACTTCAGAAAATGAATATGATTTAAAGTTACAAGTGTCCATTAGCGGTAGTAGTCACTTACTATCAAGGACCCGTTTGCTCTTTTGTCTATGGGTACACCATAAAAAAATATTATATTATTGTACTAGTACTACTACATACATTGTAGTAGCCGTGCGGCTACGATCGTGTGATTATTTCTTATTTCGTGTTTCGAACTTTGAGAATCACGAACTCTTAGGTTCTCAACATAAAAAGCATCAACTGCCATTTCAAGTTTGTAGCCCCAGCGGTTTTAGGCTCAGTATCAGACAAGTAACTGTATGTCTACAGATGATGTTTTATACTAAGGTACACCAAAAGACCTATTTAAGAAGAAAGTATGGTTATTTTAGCTAGTCTTCGAAATGGATGGAAAGATTCCCACGGGGTTTTCTCTAGCAGATAACAAATGTTATAAGGATTACCTAAGGTTACTTTTACTTTGGTAAAATAGTTATGGTGGTAATAAAGAAGCATAATGTGCAAGCGTAGCCACAAAGCAAGCTAGTGGCCCCATAATACTAACTAAAATGCTCTCTAAAATCTTAATAAATTTTAATCAGGTAATTTATAAGCTACACGTGTTATGTTGCATTTGAATTACAAATACTATGCAAACGTCAGCTGCATTGATCTAAATAACAGGACATGTAGATGTGAAAGTGACAAATTAAAAATTCTATTTAACTATTATAAATTATAATCATAAATATTTTGGCCATCAAACACACAACGCCATCTAGTTTCAAACTAAGAGCTTTTACTATGAAAGCTAGATTGGCTGATAGAATACTTATGTAAATATTTTTTTGTAAAAACATACATATTATACATAGAAAACACCCTAAGTTTTACTCGTATTAAGAAGAGTATACCAAGACTTCTCGAAAAACAACAACAAAACATTTATTAATCCATATTCATACTATACTAATATTATAAATGCAAAAGTGTGTCTGTCTAGCACCTCTTCACGCTTCTAAACCTTTGAGCCAATTTAGATAAAATTTGGTATAGAGATACTTTGATTTTCGAGGAAACACATAGGCTTTTTACACGCTTTATATTAGCTTCACTTGTATGTTAGTAACCGACTCCTTTGGGCGTGATTTTGACTGACTTTAAACGGTCAGAATTCGTTCAAACTTTGTAGATATATTGAGGACCGATGACAATATAGTAAATTAAAAAAAAAAAACATAAAAAAGCGTGGGGTGCTTTTTACTATAGACAACAGGCACCCAACGCTTTTTTTCAAAAACTTTTTAAAACTATATTTTTTTTTACTGCGATTTATGCGAGCGGAGCCGCAGGCAACAGCTAGTGAATAACAAAGAAGAGTACCTACAGTGCATCAGGGCTGTCCATTGGTCTAGTAGTTAGGGACCCTGGCTAGCAGTCAGGTTCAGCCAGACGTTGTGGGTCCATTCCCACCCAAGACAAATAATTGTGTGATGAGCACGATCGTTTGTTGTGTGTCTGGGTGTAATTTATTTACAATTTGTACGTATTTAGAAATATATAAGTAGGCATTGGTGGCACAGGTTTGGTATCACACGGCCGTGTGTAAAATGTGTCAATTTATTATTATTTTCAGACAGTTTGTTACAATTTATTGTAATAATAATAATATAATCATAAATATTAAGTCATAATATCATAGGATCGTACACCAACAACTTGCCCTTAAATACCAACTAGTGAATCTATAGGCACCATACTCGTACTATAGGTATGTGCCCGACTCAGTTCTCGAGAATGGTCGGTCCACGTTGTATTGGGATCGATCTATTATCACAGGTAGGACCATTGTTGCTAATAAGCCTGATATTGTGATATGATGACCAACACCTTCAGTGGCTCATATAAGACGGCTGGATCAAGGGCCTGATGCAGAAGGCAGTTCTCCTTGACACGGCCCGTATAGTGAGGGGGTTCCTGTCTTCGGAGTCCTAACCACCGGTGTCTTGGTCCTTGTCGGTGTCGGTGGTCTACTATCTTTTTATATTTTAAATGTATTTTGTTTTTCTTTTGTACTATATTTGAAAATGTAATCAATATCTAAATGTGTATAATTGAATAAAGAGAATAATAATATTTCAGACATCTTACACACAACGCCATCTAGTTTCAAACTAAGCAGAGCAGTTGTGTAGTGTAAGCTAGATTGACTGATAGAACACTTATATACATTTTTTTTGTAAATACATACCATATTATACATAGAAAACATCCAAACTCCGAAACAAATATTTGCAGAGCATACAAACATTCGTTCCGACCGGGAATCGAATCACTGCGCCACCGAGCAAGTAATAGAGATACACTGAAGAAGATGACACTACTTTAAAAGCTAATAATAAATATTTTTGTCTATAATTCATCGATTCTCTTAAGGTATACAGTTTGTTCTCTTTCTAGTTCTTTCGTTAAAACTGTTGCCCACTTATTTTGATTGAGTTGGAGGAAAGCTAGCTGTGCTGTGTAGCTGGAACCTTAAATTTAAACTTAAAAATATCGTTTGTATCAATCTGAACAGTTTTTGTAAAAATTTCTGTGGCCTAAATTTTTATTCTGTCAATTTTTTATTAAATTCGGCATATAATTTAGGCATAAAGTGTAAGAAGCCGATTTGTAGTTAAAATTCCATGATCTACAGTTATGTCTGACCATATTATGAAAAACCTAACCGTTTGCATGAAAAAAACATAAAAAGAAACATATTTCCCTACTTTCACATAAAAAAGTCTTTTGCAGATACGGGATCAATAGAAAATGTGCACATTTTATTATCTCTTATTAAATCATTCAAAGCAATTTTTAACTCAGTGCGAAATATAGTAAATTAAATTGGCTATTTTGACCGAACTACGTTTATATATTTGTTATTTATTTTATTTTTACAGTATATACTCATTAAATAATTCATTAATTCCCAAAGTTAATTGTTTAACTTATAAATAAACCGTGTTGACCTCAACATTAGAAAAATATTATTAAATCTTACTACCAATGTAAAGTCGTTTCTTATCACGAATATTTCTAATCAACATAAAACATTAAATTCATTCGCCACGAAAAATATTCAGTAAGCCAATAAAATTGCCATGGTTGTTTCACGTGAAGAAAGTAATCTGTAATGCGTTAAGGACTTGAATTTAATTATTTTTGCGCCTAAATTTGCAAGGACGCACGTAATGCCATCTCTCCGTGAAACGCCGAACTAAGTAGTAAAAGTCAATACTGTCACGTGGTACAAGTTGCTCGAGAGAAAAAAAAACAAAACCTGTTTTAGTTCTGTGACGTGCATGATGTTTTTGTGTCGTGTGTTTAAAGGAAGGTGTTCAAGTGATTATTACCGTGAAAAATTCATACATACGAACGTTATATTTATCAATTACAGTTATAAGTGTAGTTCTTGATGCGTCTTTACCAGATTATTAGCGCAAACTGTTGTTATAAAGTGTCCTGTTATTGTCATTTCAACCTGCTAACGTCGGGTGAATGAAACGACTTTGATAATGCCAGTAATAATTACAAATACGGAAAAATGTGCAATCACTGTCAGTGGTTCAATATACGACAATAATGTGTGAACACACTTTTGTTAAATCAGTTCTATGT